TGTTATGGTCACTTTCAGTCATACACTTGCATATAAATGGTACTATCAAAAACCAGATAAATCATCTGGAAAATGTTTTGATGGCATCAACAAGAACAACAACAGAGAACAACCACTGCATAGACACTACATTACAAACAAAACCAAGAGGCCACTAGAGAGTGAGCACATGGAGGAAGACCAGGCTGCATTCAAGATAAAGTCTTTCACTTCTGTATTGGTAAGTTACTGTTTATTTAACTTGTGAAGAACTATTGTATCACTGATCAAAGTCCTAAAATGAATATTGCAGTGTTCTAGGAGTACAGTTATGCAACTCAACTGATGTGTAAACTCCTGCAGCAAAACTACCTTAAATAGGATGCCATCCAGAGGGACCTGGGCAAACCCTAGAAGTGAGCCCATGGAAATCTCATGAGGTTTGTGAAGTGCAAGGTGCTGCACAGGTGGTTGGGGCAACCCTCCAGTACCGGTACAGGCTGGGGGATGAACAGATGGAGAGCAGCCCTGCTAAGAAGGACTTGGGGATGCTGGTGGATATTCTCAGGCAGATGGTGTGACTCTTGCATGGTCTCGTCACAGGGCGAAGAGTTGGATCCTTGTGGGTCCCTTCCAACTCAGCATCTTCTGTGATTCTGTGGATGAAAGGCTGCACAGAGCCAGCAATGTGTGCTTGCAGGCCAGAAAGCCAATTGTGTCCTGGGCTGCATCAAAAGCAGTGTGGGCAGCAGTTCAAGGGAGGTGATTCTTCCCCCCCTGCTCTTGTGAAAACCCTCATGGAATACTGCATCCAGCTCTGGGGTCCCCAGCACAGGAAGGACACTGACCTACAGAAGGGTTACCAAGCAAATTAGCATGAAAGAGCCCCTCTCCTACAAGGAGAGACTGAGGGAACTGGGTTTATTCAGCCTGGAAAAAAGAAGGTTTCAGGATGACCTCCTTGCAGCCTTGTGGTACCTGAGCCTACAGAAAAGCTGGAGAGGAACTTTCTACAAGAGCATGTAGTGACAGGGGAAATGGATTCAAGCTAAAAGGAGTAGGTTTATTTTTATATTAGGAAGGTATTCTTTACTGTGAAGGTGGTGAGGTACTGGAATAGGCTGCCCAGAGAAGTTGTGGATGTCCAATAACCGGAGATGTTCAAGGCCAGGCTGGATGGGGCTCTGAGCAACCTGGTTTAGTGAAAGGTGTCCATGCCCATGGCAAGGGGTTTTGAACTAGATGATCTTTAAGGTCCCTTCCAACCCAAACCATTCTATGATTCTCTAATGTGAAATGTGTGTCAGACAAAAGTGGTTAAAAAAACCCCAAACCTAGAAGTGAATGAATCGTCAGGATCTCCTTCCAAATAAACTTAAAATAAGGCCAAAAATGAAGCATTTAGGTGAATTAGAAAAGGTGTGTAAAAGATAGCACAGATAATCCTATGTACAGAACCATTTCTGCACCAGAAAATACTAAATAGACAGGGAATCCTCAGGCTTGAAATAGAGAGGTCTATGAAATCAAGCATAGTACGAGAGAGATGAAGACAGAATGATTATTCAGTACTTGAGACTCACACAAGGAAATCATCAGGTTTAAAACATAAGCCACAGGAAATACTTCTTTCAAACAAGGCATAGTTAAATTGTGTAACTTATTGAGTGTTGTGGATGCCAAGTATTTAAATGGGTTCAAAAGGGATTATACAAATGCATGTAGACTACTTCCATTGGTGGCTATAAAAAATTAAAAATAAAATAAAAAACCTCCTACAGTTTTGATGCACCAGATGCTTCAGAAGTCCATAAACTGATGACTGCCAGAAACTGGGGAGATGAAACAGCAGGACCCTTCTCACAGTTTTGCATCTCCTCCCTAAAGGGCCATGAATGCCAGACTCTGGAGCACGTGGTCTTCTGGGTTTGTCCAGGGTAGCAGCTCTTTGCAAGGGAGCTTTACAGCTGTGGAGACAAGAAGTCTGGCAGGGTCCTCTGTAAGAGGAACCTCCAGGGTTAACCAGAGTTTCTCTTGGCCTACACTGCAGTTCATTGTCATGACTTCCCTGACCTGGGGGGCAGAGAAGAGGAAGAGGGGAGATTGAGAGAGCAGAAGCAAAGAGGGCCAAGAGAACTATAGCACCATTCATGTTGCCTCTAGAAACCATTTCCTTCACCTTCTAAAAATTTTCCTCCAGAAAGCTTCTGAGACTTTTCTTGACAAAACAGACAGTTTACAGTGTCTGAAAGGTTTTTTATGGCATGCTATGAACAAAATTTAAATACCAGTGCCAAGAATTAGAATGATTTACATCATTCTCTCCAGGGTAGGGCATACTCTATTCTACACTCAGAGGTTCCTGATGTCCCCCATGGTGCTGAGCTGCATTTATTGCTATAAATTAAAAAGTTTCAGCTTCAAATCTCTGAAGCTCTTGAAACAGGGCAGGCTTGGTGGTGGGGAGATGGGGGTATGTATTCAAGTCCTGAGGGTATCAACTGCTTGGTGCAGCCATTCATCTCTGAAGCGACAGCCACAGCAAGAGGAGAATGCTTAACATGGTGCCTTCTCAGTGGAAGCACTGCAAGTCTTGGGACCTGTTTTCAACTGCATCTCCATAGATGTGGAGCCACAGAAATTAATCTTTTGCACATTGTCTGTCTCGGAGGTCAGCGTGGCAATACTAAGCCAGTGATTAGGTCAGTCAGACACTCAACCTGTCGCCATCAATTTAATGAATTACAAATCAAAGCACGTTCACAGCTCACGACATAATTCAGATACTTTGCCGTCTCTTACCAGGACTACCCAAATCCAGATGTTCAGGAAAGTTTTGCTCAGACTCCACCGAAGTCCCAGGACAATCCTGAAGGAGAGCCATTATTTCTTATTTTTCTTCCAGAGATAGATTTCCCTGCACTGCACTGCTTTCCAACAGCAAAAGCAATCCTTCCAGGACCCAGAACAGATAGAACTAGGGCAGGATTTTTTTTTCTGAGCAGACTAGAGTAAAACTACCCCAAAGACAACCACAAAAATTAGAGGACCAGATTGTTTTCCAACGTCACACCAAAACACTTTGTTCTATGTAAAAGGGGGCATATGCTAAAAGAACAAAACACTTCCTTATTATTGTAAGCAAAATCTGTAAACTGCAACTTTTAACTTACATTTTCTGAAAAGTTGTTTTAACTACTGTAGGCAAAGTTTTTATATGGCTCCTGCAGCATCTAAGGGAGATGTCCATAAGCAACATTCCCACCAAACAAGGGCCTCCTATTGGCAGATAAAAGCTGAAATTTCAGTGCATGAAACATTTTATAAACTTCTCTAACAATAACCTTGTTTTGAAAGCATTAAAAATTAGTGGAAATACAGAGCACAGGTTTTCTATACTTTCTCCCACCCCAGGGATTAAGAAATCAGCATCTGCCACAGCACTGCGTACGTGTCTACAAAACCGATCACAGACGGCAGATATAATCCGAGGCTTACTTTGCACTCTCAGTGCTGCTTTTAATCTAAGGCGTTGCACTTTTGGGTTAAGATAAAGCCTTCATACTGGACGTCTACATCCTGTTCTCTCAACCAGAAGTGAGGAAGTAGCTTCTGGCCAAATAAGGGCACCTTCCAAGCCCTGCAGAACACAGGATGGGTTTTACTACTATGACAAAACTACAAAGAGTTTGGTCTAATTAAATTCAATGCTCTGTTTTCTGAGTTACAGCAGAAATGATTCTTAAAGCAAAAAGTAATTTTTGTCAGAAGTGCAGCAAAAACATAGGCCTCTGAAGACATTCTTGCTGGCTACCAGTCACCCAAATTCAAGAGCAGCTGTCACAGACTTTGGTGGCCTCTAGTGGCTGCTTTTCCCACATCCCAAACTCGTCACGTGATTTGGCTCCTAAGATCGCATCTGCTCCGCCTCCCATCTATGTCTGCTGGATCCCTCCACAAGTGGCAGTAGAATGAGATGATGATACTGAGAGGTGCAGGAGGTGAAAGATAAAGTAGAAGTTGTTACAATCATCTAAGATGCCACTTATCAGTATCTACCTGTCCTTAACACCTACAGTAGATTTAGTCACCTGACAGGTACACATGGTGGCAAGATAGCTCTGGTTCTTAAAATTATATTTTTTCCATTGATTTTCTAACACAATTTCTTTTTAAACTACAGTTTAAGCTATGATGCCTAACAATGAAGTCAAGAACAAGATGTGTGTTTATGAAAGACCAACCTTCACCTAACATTTTCATTCAATTAGTTTGAGGATTTACAAGTTACAAATGCAGGTTTTTAAGACTTAAGTAGTTCAACAGTTCTTCAAAAGCAGCAATCTGATGTATGTTGAGCTGAATTGAGTACAGAGCTCATGGGATCTGTAGTCAGCCCCTCCACCATATATCAAATAAAACCCCTGGGAAAGTAACATTCATGGTATAAGTTTTCCAAAAACAGCAGAACTTTTCCTAAGTTGGGTACAGTCCTCAGGTTCCATCATGTCGCTGAGATCCTTAATAGAGCAGTGTGGAGGCTCAGCTTCAGACTGGATGAAATTTTACTCTTTCTGTATCAGTGCATCTGAAATCTACCAAGGCTTTAAAAGTTTTTCAGCTGAAGATCATGGAAACACTGGAGTAGCAAGCCACCAGGCCACACCAGACACTGCCCAGCACAGCTCTTGATGTTCTCCAAGTTCATGGTTACCCTCTCAAGCTGGAAAGTGCTACTCAGAGGATACAAAACACTGCACAAGTATTACAGCAAACAAGCCTCACCTTCTCAAAAGGGAGGGCCAATGCGGTTTCTCAAGCTGACAGGTGAGAAACTCAATCCTGAACTCCTGATAATTTTGTGCAAGCTCCAGCTCCAGTCTGAGTTACATGCCATTCCTCTGCAGCCTAAGCAGATTTCCTGCCTCTGTGTTCACTGGTTTAAGTGAATATCCCCAAATAAAACACTGTATTTGTCTTTGACCATGCCTCCATTTTTGTAACAGACTATTCGAGCACAGTTTTAATTTGATACTCTTTATTATGATATCCAGGAAAACAATAACAAGGTGATTGCTTATTACAGCTTCCACAGACTGGGGCTCCAGACCTTATTGTCCTGGGTACACACACGCACACACACACACACAAAAGACAACCCTTGCCACATGAACTTACAGTCTAAATAAACAAAACAAATATAATGATTAATCAAGAAACAAAGAGGAGGAATTACCCGTGTGAGAACACGAGTTAAGTTTTGGCTTGATTTCTAGTCTGGAGTTCAGGAGTCAAAATTTCTACCCTGTTACAGTATTCTTATTATCATGGGCTGAATTTTTATCTGTTGATTACAATGCAAAAGATAATATTCAATATTTATAGCCAATATATGGAGACACAAAGCTCAAGTTCTAGACCATAATCTGTCAACTGCTATGCAGCAAAACTACAGTCTAGAGATTCAGAGACCTTAAGTATCCAGTTTCTTAAATGAGAAAGGCAGCAAGAGTGAACTGCAATATGCAAAGGAAAAACATTCAGGAATATCAATTTCTGCAAAACCAGTCAAGATTAATTTTTTTTTTTCAATTCAGTATATCAAATTGCTCAACACTCTTCTGTGTGGAATGAAGAGGTAACAACTGTGTTGTGCTGCATGACAATGCCTGATCTCTAATATTAAACACAATAAATACAGACAAGGAATGAATACTGAAGGGCTATTGAATTATAAAGCTACACTCAAGCTGCTCTGATTCTGCAAAGAGTTTCAAACACAACAAGAAGAAAAAGGAGTTGTCATTTCTGGCACTCACATCACATATTTGCCATCCTTTAGCAGGATAAAACTGAAGTATTTGCAGAAACCTAAAATAAAAATGACAGGACCCATAGAGATCAAGTGTATTGGATTCAAAACTAGGCTGTTTTTTTTTAAACCAGAAATAGTTGTTGCCTTTTGAATTGGCAACATCAAAAGAACTTTTTTCTAAAAGGTAGAAAACAGTCTACTGCTGCTAGAGCCCAGCACTCCTCACCCATTGCTCACCAAAGGCAACTGACAGTGGCAGATGCTAAAAGCAGTTCCATTTCATCCACAATGGCACTTGCTCTGGATGTGAGCTATATCCAATATAAGTTGTATTGCAATGTATTCATACTAAAGAGTTTCAGTTCCCATTAAGGAGGTTCTGATGACACGCAGCATATTGATGTGCTTATTTCTTGCAAGTCTGATCCAGAAACAGTCCAGCCCTGCTCCTATTTTAGTTCTGAAGAGTATGCAAAATTCCTTAATGTGTAGAGATCTAGGCTTATCAGACCCAAAACTGCGTAGTTCAGGGAACAGTGTGAAGAGCAGATACTCATTAAACATCCACCACAACAACCTACAGTATATAAAACAACCCCACCAACAAACCAGCAAGCACGGGCTAATCCAGTGCTCCAAAGATAATCCACAGCTAACAACTTAAGAAATTCAAATATGATGAACAGATGATAATTGACGTCAGTCCTTTGAAGTCTCATTCCTTTTAAAGGACCTTCTAAATATTCCCCAAGCCTACATTTTGTAGGACATCCTTATACCCTGCACACCAGAAGTAACCTAAATATTTGCACAAGATGACTGCGGGTATTAAATCACAGCTCCCCCTCCCTGGAGTGCAGGATCTGTGCACAGGCTCTCACCAGCCTGCAAACGTTACAAGCATCACGACTGTCTCTCCTTTGTGTTCAAGTCCCTTCAATACTGACCTTTTAGAGAGAGAACAATTAGGACAGCAGTGACCAACACCGCATAGGAAGCCTATTCAAGCTGCCAGTCTCCATCATTTACAACACAGGCCCGAAGGGCTGAGTCACAAATGGAACCAAACCCAAGTATGACCTACGAATCAGCTGGTGAACTTCCTGAAAACAGGAAAACAAAATAAGAGAAACCAAACAATCCTCCCCTCCATGTACCAAGACAGGCATACTGTGCAATTCTTGCAAAACTCTCTGGAGGATTTACTTCAATACATGAAGGGTTTGATCCAGGACAATCTACATTTTCAAAATTCCAATTTCTATATCACCAGTATCATTCTACACTGCTTGGAAACCCTCATGACAGTTAAAAAGGTATCTCAGTACAGTAAAGCACAATAAATATTTCCCCTTCTCCCACGATATCCAACAAAAATCCATTAATACTTAATGGATTTGGCAAGTAAGAACTACCAGAGACGAATCTCCCTTCTGGTACTGATGACTGGAAGCCTTTCAAAGAGATCTCCCAACTCATACTGCAGTCTAGTGTAATTTTTAAGCCACATGTCAATGGAAGGGGTAGCTGCCTTAGAACCTGAATTCATCTCTTCCCTGCATCCTTTCTTCTTGCTTATACATAACTACTTGTTAGCCTCTGGGATTACTATCAGGTAACTAATCCAATGGAAAAAACCCCAAGCAAACACCTGCACCAGCTCCCTCATCTAGCACACCGTGCAACCAGAAAGGCTTGTGCTAGCCAAGGCAAGGGACAGAACCCCAATTCTGGCATCAACCTACATTACTTTCAGCTTAGCATGACCATGAAAATGCTCCCTTCCCTTTAATATCAAGTTTTGCCACCAACAAAATTCCCTCAGGTGCAGTTAGTCAGAAGTCTTCAAAGAAAAAGAGGACTGCAGATGTGTATTGATCCTTTTTACAGAAGTAAACTACTTGTACCAGAGTAGTGCACTGCTTATTACAATTCTGGCTAATATAACTCCATAAACACAACTAAAACTTTCAAAGAAAAAAAGTATTTAGGAAAAATATCAAATGTTTACAAATAACTGACTTTCTACGTGCATTATCCCAACATACTTAATTTACCACCAGCATAACCTAACTTTAGCAGAAATAGCCTATGCATTTTCTCTGCTCGGCAAATTCTTTCATAATTCCTAATTTTGGGCATGAGATCACCACAAAAGCAGTATTTCCAAAGAGTATTTCCACATTCATCAGTAATTCACATAGGAGAAATCGGTCTTTGCAACTAGTCAAAGTGTCCAGATGAAACTAAAACTCTGAAAATTATTTTCAGCTGGTCTGAGTTCCTTGCTTGTACTTTGAAGTTCAATATAATCACTTTAAAAGTAAAATAATAGTTTTGATAGCAGATTCTGGCACAGAAACCAAACACACATTTGGGGGGCAAAAAAGGGTTTAAATCATCTGTTGTTAAATCTTGAAAAGTTCTGACAAGACAGAGCTAAAGGAAGGGGGTTTAAGAAAAAAAAAACAAACCCAACAAACCCTACCCACTGACTGCATAATTATTCAATTAAAATCCATCTATACGGACAAAGCTTTCTCTTCACAGGATCTGTCAATTGATCAGGATAAATTACTGCAGCCTAGGCAAAAATTATTTTATTAGGCATAGAAATAAAATTATTAACTCTTCAGCCATTTCCATTTTTCCTGACTCCATAGTTAAGCAAACATGATTAGACTTCCATTTCACTGAATCCCAGATTTCAAGCAAAGAGCCAAAAATGCAATAACATTTAAAAACCAGTTTTAAGCAATTAAAAAGAAATTATCCAGCCAAACAATAATCTTATACTAAAACAAGTAATACCGAACTGGAAACAGAAGTATCAAAATCTTCTAAGTTCATGAGTGTTTCCATCCCAAGGTAGAAAATTAAAAATCACTTCTTTTGCCTCAAACATAATAAATATGTATTTTTAGTTATGACACAAAAGACAGAAGATACTGGTTTCCAATACTCTACCCAAATTTTAGAACAACTGTTATTATTCTCTATTACTTGGCAGACAGCGTCAACTCCTATAAGGCAAGGATGAAGATTAAGCCATTGTGGAAACAAAAGTGCTTTTGTTAAAGTCCAAAGACCAAGAATTTCTGTCCATAAGGCTAAAAGGAGACAAAAAGCAATGTCAGTATTAACAGTCAAGAATATATTCTTTCGAAGTTTTTGGAAATTAACCTGAAGTTTACATTTCAAGACCACTGTGAACGAGGTTTACAAGAAACAGTTTGCCTTAGGGAAACAACTATTACAACCCTCAGACTCCTATAAGTCTTAAAGATCTCAAGAAGTACCTTAGATGTTCCCTTCATAATTTGTTCCTCCACCCATTATTCTGAGAGCCCCAGTACAACTGGATATCACAACCAAACTGATTTAGAGTCAAAGTACCAGACTAGACACTTAAAATTTCCCCCCCTGGCTTAAGGTACAAGTTGAGAGCAAGGCACACAGAATTTATGAAGGTCTTTCTAGAAACATAAGACTAGAAATGTGATTTTTGGGCAGCAAGTATATAATACACACAATTCTCTCAAAATTTCTGATTTCCAATTTTCCAGTTTCATGGTCACATCAGACAGATTCAGAGTTCCACCACTTCAAATCAAGACATGGCATAGCTACTTCTGCTGAAGCAGACTGGGCATATTACAGGGCATGCTGCCCCAGAGTTCTCAAGCTAAGCAAGTATATAAGTCTGCCAAGTCCACTTCAGGAGCTGTGAAGCAAATATTTGGGAAGTGTGACGGTAATTAGCGGAGACATATAATAAATTATACTGCAATAACTTTAAATAGCACTAAACAATTGAAGAATGGATAGTTACTTGTAGAGGAGATTTTGTACTAGAAACGTTTATTCTGAATAGTAAGCAACTGAACTGTAGAAGATACAGAATGAAGATTTATTACTCTGTTGGGTATAAACTCAATTATAATAACAGGTTTTAATTAAAATTATTTTATTTATCAGCTTGATTGCTCATAATTATCCTCAATCAATAAGCAGTTCAATACTTTGGTTAACGTGATAGACTAATTTAGCAACTTCTTCTTAAGACTGAAATAAATCTCTCACTCGTTCTCAAGTGCAATGGGTTGAATTTTATCCATTACAAAAGCGTACAGAGGAAACATTATCTGCATATTAAACTGGAAAACTAACTGGACAAAGCTTCACATTGAATACAATTTTGAAAGATAATGGAAGAATTCTTAAATTGAGATTTTTCCAGTTGTAGCAAAGGGCACAATAAATCAGTTTTAAGAAGTTGCAGCTTCTAAATATTTTTTTCATAAAAACATATATAGGAGAAATCAAACTATTTCCTAAAAGAGGTGAAACAAAGCAAAGCGGTTAGAATAAAGGAATGTTTCTCATTACTTGATCCATTTATTTAATTCCCTCTTCATGGAGCATTAATTGCCTCCCAAAACAAACACAACACATTGTAAGAAGAACCTCCACCCTCTAAAATCGGACAGACAAGTTTTTAAAGAAGGTCCAACGCACACTAATTCTCCAAGATACATACACTTTAAAAGCACACACAGAAGTGAACAGTGCTACTCAAATCAACTCTTCCTATGATCATACACGCTCCCTTCTAATTTTCAAGTGCTAAAAGCTATATCTCAAAAAGGTTTTTTGTTCCTTGTATGAGATTTCTAACCAACAAACAATAAGACTCTGCAACATTTCCGATTATTTCAGTTTTGTTTTAATGATATGGGGCAATTCTAAGAGCAGACATTGTGCAGCTAGTAACTACAAAATAAAAGAGGGCTATTGGTGTGGTCTTGGAATCCCAATTTGAAACGTAAATTTGAGTCAAGGTAATTAACTGAAAAGCCAGAGTATCTGAAAATTCATACTAAGTTTTTACTTTAATTTTGCAATACTTCTTGAGGAACTTGGAAAAAGCGAAGTTGGTAGAACATCATGTATCACCAAGATTACAAAAACTGGAGGGAAATAATACATTGCAACAGTGATCCTCATTAAGTAAGTTATTTCATCACAGTAAATGTTTAAAAAAGCGTCAATGTTTTTTAAAAAGTGTTGAATCCTCCCCTCAATTATTTGAAGAGAGATAAACCTTTTTCCTTAGTCAAAATGGCTTTTTAAAAAAAGTTTCTCAAAACAACATCAATAATCAAAAAACATGAATTGTATTTTCCTTAATCCACAATATCTCTAGTGCTGAAGAGCCATCCATGTAAAAAGCAGATTCTTTGGGGACATTAGTCAATTAACTTAATAAACCCCAGTTTTACGAGGATTTATCCTTCCTGCTGCGAGGTGAGTCTGCTCCATTTGAGGTCACTGTTCCATTTATTCCGTTTTCTACAAAACAAGAAAACATTTTTCAAACACAATGAGATGCTTTATATTTTTTTACATTTTTCTAGGTCCTATACAAACAGTCTTTTATCTTCTTTTCTGACGTATCTTCTTCATTAAACCTCATAATTATCATCAAAATGCAACAATATAACAAAGTTTTTACAAAGTGCAAAATTTGAAGTTTGCTACAATAAATTCCAGTTTGCTGATGTGGCCAGACACTGAAATATGTGCATTATATACACCTAGACCGAAAAATCAAGACCAGTTATAATATTTTAGAAGATATTCTGTGAAAAAGTAAAACACAACCTGTGTTCTGTGAAATTTTGGAGACACACTGTATATACACAATTCCCTTGTATAGGTCTTAATTATTAGTCCCATCTATTTCATACTATAATTCTTGCTAAAATTACACTCCTTCATTTACAAGTATTTCATACATACAGGAAAGCCTTTACCTAAACATGCACATACAATTTTTAAAGCATATACTTTAAAAGATGGACAGAAGGAAAACACTAAAAGTTCAGATTTGCAAAGAGTATGTGTACGTGGAAAGAGTACTTGAAAAAGCTGGGACACAAAAAAGTATTTTAAACAGTTCCATTACATATATTACTCTTTCAAAAACACAGCTTTGCTGCATCCTGTGCAAGTGTTCTGAACAGATAACATTACAGGAAAACTCAAACCAGAAGAATATGAAAGAACAGAGTTCTTTTCTTTCTATTTAAAATAAAAAATTTCTTCAGTCTTCAAGACAGATATAGCTCAATTATTTTGTGAATTAAACCACAACCCCAATTAACTGACTTCTTTCACTCTTCGTTTACCACTTGCAAGTGTCCATTGAAGATGGATGAAAACCAGCAAGTTCATCAAAGTATATGAATGAAATAGATGATGAGATTTTAAAAAGGTACTACCTTATTGACTCACTGATTAAAACATCATTTAAGCTTATATTTTAAAATTATTTGACATAAAAGACTTCAATTAAAGAAACATCATAGTGATTATGCAATGAACATGAAGCTCTGATTAAATAGGACACTTCTGATTAAATAAGACACTTTTACATAGGAAACTACCTTCATTCAATTATAAAAAAAATCCCCCTGAATTTTCTGATGAAAACAAAAAACTCCAACACCACGCAAAAGCCAAGTTATGATAATTACAAATCATCTAAAGGGAGTACAGCAATAATCTAAAGCATATAATTTTAATAAAAAAGAAACTTGGGGGAAATAAAAAAAAATTATGGATCTCCCACTACAAATCTCAGTTCTTGATGCAAATGGTCTTCACACACACTAGGTTCAATATATCGAAAAGTGGAATAGGTTGGTAATACATGATTGGGAACAAAGGATCATGTTGAAAAAAAGCTTTTGTAACAACTTCAGCAGTTTCAAAAAAGTCCAGAAGTTATTCAAGCTAGTAGTTAAGTACATAGAAGCTTAACTGTCGGTACAACAGAAATACTGAAGTAAGGGGATACTTTATTTTTAAAAGAGGACATGATTTTTCTTGGAGGAAAGAGCATTCAGTTCATCTTTCATGCCCTTTCTATAAAAAGAGTGTGACATAATCAAAAAGTGAAACCTGGAGTCATCAGTTCATTTCCAAATGCTTCAACACAGGTTTAGACTAGTAAGTAGTTACTACCTCCCCTTAGACAACTATCAAATTCTATTTTCTGTAAAAACAGTCCAACACAAGACTATTTAATGAGTGGATCATCAAACCATCTCTTTGCCCTAAAATCTCAGAATTTTGTGGCAATAAACAACAAGTTTGAAATTCACTGCAAGAAAATTTTACAAATAATTGTTTCTGTTCCCTTTTTATAAAGGAACAAAACATAAGCATGACGTATTTTGTTCAAGTACTGAAATTAAAGATATTAAAAATATCATGTTACATTAACTAAAGAAACAGTAGTTCCTTCATTGGGCAATCAGAAAACCCAAAATACACAGTGGGTTTTTTTAAACCAATTCTCCCCACAGTAATATTCATCAATACTGTTTCTGTAACTGAGTCCTCTCACTTGCAAGTTAAACATAAAATGCTTCTTTAGCAACTCTATTAAAAAAGGTTCTCCACATCCTAAGGTTGTTTCTGAGAAGTCAAGGCAACATAAAAACTGAAACTACAAACCTCTTTCTTTTCTGGAGTTCTTTCCTTTAGCTGATACAAACTTCTTTTTCACTGACTGAGGCTGAGAAGAAGAATGCTCTCTCCACCTCCGAAGCTGGAAATTAATGAACTTCCACATCATAAATGCTTGAGTCATGCAGATAGAGGCCAGCACGCTGATTCTAGAAACAAAACACAAGTGAAGTTTTATCAGTAAGTTTGTCACACATTAGAGTGATTCTTTCTAGATAATACAAATTTTTGTAAGCTCAGTTTTGTTCAGGTTTGTTTTTTTTTTTGGCAACTTCCAACCCATCCTCCTAGTAACATCCATTTTCTAAGCCATGCAAGTGTTTGCTCCCACAGGAAGACTGGGCTTAAGCACAGATGATCAAAACTGGGTATACAGTGATAGTGAAGTCTTTACCCATGAAAACTGGGAAGTACCAGGTTTCTTTCCTGCTTTTACAGAATTACTCTCAAGGTACCAGGCAGCAACAGCTGAAAATGGTTGAAGAGTGTCTTGCCATTCTGAGTATTAATTCTGCAGGGTAGTGCTTACATTGTCAATGTCTCAATAACTTTTCTAGATTTAATTCATAAGAAGGCCAGGTGATTGGCAGAACATTCTGCATCATGTAGCAACAACAGAAGCCATAACAACAACAGAGAAAGAGGCAGAAATCTTCAACCAGGACCAAAGATGCTCTGGACATAACACCTTGACCTCTATAGATGAATTCTAGATGTAATTGCAGTTAGTTTAATTTACTAACTCTAAAACATTTAAAATAAGTGTTTATAATTGAATATTCCTCTTAATTCTGGGTTTCTTTTGACACAAAAGAGTAACCAGTTACAGATTTCTCAACTGTAGACTGTAAATAATTCATTTCATTTCACTGTGGCTTAAAAGTCTGTTACATAAACTATTCCCATTGATCCCATCGGTTGCATGAAATTACTCAATCATTCAGAATTAATACCGGCATTAATACCATACCATTTATACTGTGTATCTAACACAGGTTTACAGTACATGCTTAAGAAGTGTTCCAGGTTTACTATACCTAACAGCCAGGATATTAAAGTTTCCAGTACTGAAATTCAGCTGCTGATCTTCTGCTCTTGCTAGTCCAAAGCCAAAAGTGAGGACCGAGAGAATCAAGGTGAGAAGCCTTCCCAAAACAAAAAGAACTGCCCATAGTGAAAATCTAGAAATAAAAACAGTACAAACACTAAATGAATTTTCCATTCAAAACACATGTACTAACAAGGCAAATGTTTACGCTTCACCATGCAAATTTGTTTGGAATATAAGAACTTACCTAAATTCATTTCCACATATTCCACATGAGTCTTGCATTACGTTCTGAAAACTAATTTCAACTCAATGGAAAGTGCTTTCCAGTACTATTAGAACATGAGCATGTTCTTAATTCCTACAGTACTGGCTGTTGGATAGATACTGAACCTATCCTGTTCCTTTCTCTACAAAACTTAGGGTAAAACCCGAGTTTTTTAAGAGATATAAGTACTAACATTATTCTGGAGAACTGTGGTCTCTAAGAAAAACTGTTTGAATTTCCTTCTAATTTTGGTTTCTGGTTAGTTGAATGTGAAAAGCTTTAAGACAGAAATTACATGAATTTAAAAGATAAAGACTACTTACCCTTTCTGGTACTTTTCATCACTGAAGTAGAAAAGACGAGATATGTGGAAAAGAAACTCAACGAAGTAATGCAATACCAGAAGAACAAGTCCAAGATGGGTCAGACTATGAAAACAAAGAAAACAAACATTCAGACATTTTGTTAGATGTTTAAGAAAGGGAATGAGGTCAGAAAAAGTTTGCAACTGACTTACTTCAGGAGATAGGCTCCAGCAATATGAAAGAGGTAAAGTCCAATGTAGACAATCTGGCGAAAGATATCTTCCTATTAGGAAGAAAAAAACCAACCATGACTTATATGCAATGTTATACAGTATTGAACAATGTTATCTATTATTACTACTATTACTATTTATTCCTTAGTCTTGGAAATCCTTCTTTGTTTATCAACTACCTTAACATGGCCTGGTCTGGCCTGGCACTGAATTAGTCAGCCTGGCTCATCTAATTCCACATACAACTTACTGCTTACTTAGCAATAATATTCAGAATCTTACACATATCCTATTGTGAGAAAATGCACCAAACATCACAAAGAGGCTTTTTAAAAGGGCCCAGTTTTATTTGTTATGGCTCTTGTGAATTTGTACAAGCTATTACAATACTTATTTTGTATATATATAACTGTATCATCAGCTCCTACATTTCCATGTGTTTGCTGCTTATCAGATGGTCAGACTGCTACAGAAATAAAAAACCCCAGTGTATAAACCAAAATGAAAAGTTTTCCTAGTGTTGGCATTGATTTTAAAAATTCAAGAACATTTGAAATTCTGGCACACCGTTGCTGACAAATACAGAGAATACAGTTATTAACCAGTCATGTTAAACCACGTGGTCACACTTCAATTCAGGTTTTAGCTAGCCCCATTAAATTGAACACTTCATGGAGACAAAATAATAAAGAGGGAGACACAGAACACATGGAAAGCATATTGTGCCATCTGTGAACAGAGGAACCACTAAAATATGCCAGATCACAATAAAAATCTGTTTTGAAGTGGTATGCAGAGTACATTCAAGTTATGCTTAAGCAACTCCTACTTTTTGGAAAAATTCCCTAAACACTTGTGACAACAGCAAGCACCACGTACAAAGCACCATGCACAAAGAGCAAGGAAAGAGATGAACAAAGACCTACTCTAAATTATTTGAAAGAAAACAAATTAAAACCTTCTTCAAGAATAGTCAGTACAAACCATTAGTTTCTTTAAGTACTACCAGGAGGAGCCTTTTACACTTGAACTTTAGAACTGAGGTAACATTTCAACACCCTGCTTAGACAAACTGGCAGAGACTGAAGGCCTACTGGAATAATGCAACTGGAGATATACATGACTATACAGAGGAACCAGAGTTAAGAAGTTCTTCCCTTGTCTGTGTCAGCAATAAGGCAAGGAATAAGGCAAGGAAGCCAAGATGGCAGAGGTTAAGCCATGGTGAAAGAAATATCGACTATGAACTCGCTAAAACAAATGAACTATCACTCTTCAAACTTAATGCAAAAGTCAGAGGTCAAAAGTTCAAGTACTGACCCAATAAAACACTACTATTCATCATACAGCACTTAGGCCACTTGTGACAGCTTTCTTGATGTTATGAAAAAAATCTCCAGACTTGGCTATGAAGTTGAGAGGTACCATTAGCACAATATGGGAACATGAGCTGCAGTGCAGCTGCAAAACAGTGTTTATACTGTATCGGATCAGCATAAAAACAATGCATCTCATTACTATTTTACTAAGCCTCTTCTAGCCTCCTGAACAAAGACCTATGCTTACGTAACACCTATGTTTCATTTTCTTGAATGAACTCTGGCAGCAGAGATACTGCCTAGTCACAAAGCAACAACAGTTACAGAATCGTTTGGGATTGAAGAGATGTTTGTACATCACCTAGTCCAACCTTTCTACCATGGGCAGGGACTTCTCTCACTAGATCAGGTTGCTCAAAGCCCCATCCAACCCGAGCCTGAACATTTCAAATGAAGGGGAACACACAACTTCTCTGGACAATCTGTTCCAGTGTCTCACCATCCTCATTGTAAGGAAATTTTTTGTATCTATTCTAAACCTACCTACCCTCTGTCAGATAAAAATCCTTGCCCCTTGTCTTCTCACTAGAGGTCCTGATAAAAAGCCTCTTTCCATCTTTCTTTATAAGGCCAGTTCAAATAGTGTTAGGCCACAATAAGTTCTCCCTGGAGCCTTCTCTTCTCCAGGCTGAACAATCCCAACTCTTTCACCCTATCTTCACAGGAGGGGTGCTCCAGTCATCAGTTCATCTTTGTAGCTCTTCTCTGGACCCGCTCAAACAGATTCATACCTTTCCTGCACTGGGAACCCCAGAGCAGGACACACTACTCCAAGTGGAGTTTCACCAGAGTGGAGTGGAGGGGCAGATCAACCAGCTGGTCACCACTTTTTATGCAGCCCAGGTTACAACTGGCTTTCTGATATGCAAGGGTACGTTGCAGGATCATTTCCAATTTTTCATCCCCAGCACCCTCAAGTCTTCTGCAGGGCTGTTCTCAATCCATTCATCCCCAGCCTGTATTGATGTTGTGGATTCCCATAATCCAGGTGCAGGACCTTGCAGTTGGCCCTGTAGGAAGGACTTCACAAGGTTCACATGGATCCCGTCCAAGCCTGTCAGGATACCTCTAGATGGTACCCCTTTCCTCAAGCAAATCAACTGCAACACTCAGCCTGGTGGTTCTGCAAACTTGCTGAGGGTGCACTCGATCCCTTTGTCTGATGAAGATGTCAAACAGCACTGATTCCAGTACAGACCTTGAAGAACACCGCTTGTTACTACTTTCCACTTGGACACTGACTCCTGACTATAACTCTCTGGAAGTGGCCATCCAGCCAGCTCCTTATCCATCTAACAGTCCATCCATCAAATCCATCTCCTTCCAATTTAGAAATAAGAATGCTGTTGGGGACCCTATCAAAAGCCTTAACAGAAGTTCAGGTAGATGACAGCAGCAGCTCTACCCTCTTCCGCTGATGCAGCCACTCCACCATGGAAAGCCTCTAAGCTAGTCAAGTATGATTTGCTCTTGGTGAAGCCATGCTGAAGAGTTTAAAACAGGAAAGTTTAAGCAGAAAAAGGTATACACAAAATTACTTGAGCAAAAACTGCAAAGAGAGTAGTTAAATTGGTCAGTAAGGCAAAAAGTGTGCTACAAAAAACCTGAAGTGAACTCAGTGTTATGAGAACCCAAACACAGAAAACCCTTAGAAAACAAAGGCTGCTGTTAACAGTTGAGAACTGAAAAAAGTCTCAATACATAACTAATCTCAATACATCAACTACTAACATAATCAGAACTTGTGCAGAGGATAGTGGTATTTAAATCAAATCCCAGACTTTAATACCACTTTGATTCATAAAATTATTCACAGTTTATATTCTACACCTATATCATGATTCATGAAGTACTTGTGATTTCAGTAAGACTATTCAGACTACCAATTATGAGAAACAAAAAAATGAGTTTGAAAAGAAAATCTCACATTTACTTCTTTAAGGGAAAATTCTTTCAGTAGATGAGAAACACTAGCAATTCTTATTTACACAACAGATATACAACAATTTTACTGCAATTAGAAATATTGAAATATTTATTGCAATTAGAAATACTGAAATGACTGAAATGAAAAAAAAAAGCCCTTTCTCATGGACATTTGAGCACCCCAAATTCCATCAAGAAAAGTGGGTAACACAAATTAGAACAGGGTAGGAAATCTAGGGTAACACATTACTCTGGAAGTTCAAAAGAAATTAACTACTCCACCGTTTGAGCTGCTTACTCTGGAGTGCCTTCCATTTATATTTTGAACTTACTTTTTTAGTTTTCTGGAAGTATAGTTCTGGAAAAGCATGAAACCAATATGCCAACTGTAAGATGTAGAAAAACTTCATTTGAAACCTGTGCAATACAGTAAGAATTGAATGATATTACTTATTATGAATGAAATTAATACATTTCAGAAGCCTTCTAGTGAACCCATTTTATCACTGTCTCTTAAAGAAAGAAAAACATACAGATCCTTCCTGCTAGCCAACTTTAAACTAAGATTTTAAAAACCAAAATAATTAAGACAAAGCTTGCAAAAACTTAATTCTTTAAGACACAGCCTACAGAAAGAGAACTTTGTATGCTACAATTGTCAAAGAATCAAGAGCCCACATAAATACAACCAAAAATGCATTAGTGACTAATATAGTTTTACAAACTACTTATTCCACACAAATTGCACGTGACACAGGCTAAGTTTAAAACACCTCCTCCTGTCTCCCAGTAATCCTCTAAGGAAGAGATCTTACGGAATCAGAGTGTGTGGATAGTCCCTCCACAGAGAGGTTGGATCTGATATATAGTTCTCCTAAAAAAAAGAAGAAAAAACAAACAACAAATCAAATCACGCGTTTGTTCAATACAGAATGACACGGAAGTTCTTTCAGCATCTCTACAGCCATAAGTCTTCTCATGCAAACTGCTGACAGGCTTTGAGTTTAACCAAGAGAAGGAAAGTTTTTCCAGGAGTTATTATATTAAGGGGAAGAAAAAAAAAAAAGATACTCTTCCCCTTCACATTCAGCCACTAGCTTTAACCTGAAAGGACATGCTGACCTGAGATTACAGCCATCTGCTCATACACCCATTCCCTAGGCTCCAAAAGGCTATGTATGGTGCTTTTCAAACATTTATTTTATGTTAATAAGCCATCACAAAAAAACTACAGAGAATTAAGTACCATAATAGTTAAATGGTTTTACCTTAATCTGTTCACAGTAAATCAACTCAAGACTGAGCAACAGCAACACTACTGGACTTTATACTCAGTTATGACTACAACCTACACACAATTCTTAAACTTGTCCCCACTTTAAAATTAAAACCAGCTAAAACCAGAAAAATAAGCCAAAAACATATTAATCAGCAGTCTAAGTGAAGCTTTTGAAATCTCATAATACAAACAGAAGAGGAATCATACTTACAGAGACAAGAATACTCGTTCCCCAAACACAGGAGAAAAGGTAGAATGCACTAAGTTGCCCAGACTCATTGAACTTGCTATGCTTCGTTTTTGAAAAGTGCATTTTCCTGTTAATTTTCTGAAATGAAAATCCATTGTTATTTATACGCTGCAGTAGTTAACATTTACCTGGTAACTGCATTAGAACATCTATAAGTTTTAATGTATGCATTTACAGTTAAAAGCTTTAATACAGAAGTTTACTTTTAAATTAATAGTCTTAAGGTCTAATTGAAATCTGACAACTTTCTCGATGAAAGGAATTAATATTTTGTACTTACATCCAGTACGTACTCCTGAATTATAGCGTGTATGATTATTGCTACGAGCATGTAAAAGAAAATCGTAGCCAAGTCTTTGATGCCATAGTGATAGAGAGAGATTGTTTCTGCAGATTGTTCTTCTAAAAGGCAAACAGAATTAACTGTTAGGCACCAATACAGTTTAATGGTTAATAAGTTTGCTTCTCAGAGTGAAACCTTTCAGACAGAAGTACCTTGTAGTCAGCTGAACAAATAAAAGTGAAATTAAACTGCCACCATAAACTAGGTCACTAGATTGTTTATAGTTATCTTCTCCATCACACCACAAACTCAATTTGACTCTGGAAAGAGGTACTATAAAATGAAAAACTTAAGTGCACTTAGGAAGCTTACCCAAACACATTGAAAGCGGACAATAAAAATATGTTAAGCTATCACTCCACTTTGACTACAAAGACTGTCACTTGCAAACCCAAAGTAAGAATCTGTGTGAACTTATCTACCAGTTAGATGGTGCCTTAGCACTAATGATGAACAGAACACTAATCAGAACAGAAACGTTGTCTCTAACCTAATTAATTAAAATGGAGTTTTAGTAAAAATAGAGTGAAATCCTTGAAAGCTGCTTATTATCCATTCAAATTGACAAATTAACTTACTGTCAGTCTAGAAAGCATGGCATACTAATAATGTCTGAATACACAGTCTCATAACTAACCTCCTGCAAGATACATACCTGTGGCAGGAATGGTAACATTATACTGAAGTGTAACAAAAATGACAGCTGCTTTTGCTGTAATCTGAAAAAGGAAAAGAAAGAAATTCTCATGGAAATAAGCTACATTAAACTGAAGACATATGCCCATACTTTTAGCACACTTGCCCAGCACACTTCTCCCCTCCCAAAAAAATGATCACATTATCACATTGCTTCACCTGACTTTTCAAAGGCAGCACATATTGCCTGGTCTCTATAGATCTGTTTACAGAATACCAAACCTCCTGAATTAAATTAAATATCCTTGAAAACACCACTTACAAACAGTCTTTCCTACAACACTAAAATGAAAACATGCTACAATTCTTTCCTCAGTCGCTACTGTACTATTACATTAACAGAATGTACAATATCATGGAACCCCTAGACCATGATGCATTCAGCAATGGCTGGGAATAAACTTTATTTAAAACTACTTTTTTTTATTTGACAAAATTTGAAAGTCAATTATCATATTCATAACTCTGTGAGTGATCTGGAAAATATGGACAGGGAAGGAAAAAAGCATAAAGAAAAGAAAACCATTTCAGGCCAGTGGCATACCAACTCAATACAATTAGCATTCTTTTGACCTTGGGGATCCTTTGGCAAGATGTGTAAAACAAATGAGATTAAATTTAGCAGTAGTGGTACTACCTCTTTATGACTGGCTGTAAGAAAAAGCAGAATGAATAAAAGCAATTTGGAGGGAGGATGTTTGTTCTAATGGCTTTTTTTCCAGGGGTGGAGATATTCTAAAAACCCTAGTAAATAAGTAGTAGTACAAGTTCTTCTTTGTCAATAAGCATAAACTTATTTTTAAGTCTAATGCATCTTCGTTGAATTCCAACATGAATCAACATGTCTTAACTGAGAAGGAAAAATAACTGTGCTTTACAACAATATTTGTGACCTGATAGCTTTTCACTACTGTAAAAACCTAGCGTCTTTGTGGCATTTATAGGGCCGAAGAAAGAGAACTTGCTTTTTTATGAATCCTGGAAGGATACACTGAGTATCTGAAAATAATTATTAGGTTACTACCAGCATTAATTATCATTCACTGGAAATGAGATCAATTTTTAAAACCAGCGCATTGTCAACAAGACCTAGATTTTATGAAACCCTAAATACATGGCAGACTGTTAAGTCCATGTAACTTCAGGGTACCCAACTAGTTTGCTTAAATTAGTGAGGTCACCTTGGGCTCCCTATTCATCAAGGGAGCCCTCAGATGACAATTCAAAACACTAGTGAAGTCTGAACTGCCCTTCAAAGCTCTGTCAGCTACTCTCAGTACTAATTCAATCGCACAAGTCAGGCAGTATAAACACCTTACCATACCAACATCAACCACAGCAGGTGATTTCCAAGACCTATATCAAAGCACTAAAAGAACTGCAACAATATTCTCAGCCACACCACATTTGTACCAACACAGATATAAGGCCTCTCTATACCAGGGTAGAAAAAGCACTGGTTAAAAAAACTGGAAACAAAAGAATTCAGAATACATCCAATCCCCCAAAAAACTTCCAACCCTACCAATAATATTGTTAATACAGTTAAGTCTGAAGTAAGGCATCTACCTCTTTAATGTCATTCCGCAGAAAACCACCATATTGGGGCTGTCTTGGTGATTTCTGATAGCAAACTCAAACATAATACCTTTGTTGCTCTGCCTTGTTTTTACTTTTCATATGTATATATATATATATGTGTGTATGTGTGTATATGGTTTTCCTAACTCCACTGGGCCTTAGTGCTGAGCAGTACCAATGGCTGGATAAAACTATTCTGAAAACCACCCACATAACAAAAAGGTCCATAGCCCTAAACAAATGCCTAAAATAAAGCCCAAATACATGTCTAAAAAAATGTATAAAATACCAAAAAGCCAGAAACATTCACCCAATGAAGTGTCTTACTCTGATGATCAGTGATCTTAAGTCTCAATGGTCTCAGTCTCAGTGGCCTCAGATCACTGACATCATTTTGGCAGTCACACAGGTAAGCCACCTTTTCAGTTCTCTCAGGAGGTAACCGAGAAGAGCCAAAAAGGCACGTTTTAAAACATCTGCATTCAACATGGGGGCCCAGAGAGCGCCTGGCCTGCAGGGGGGCCGGCCCTCAGGCCGAAGAAGGGAGAGCTCCCCTCTGCCGCTGCCAAACCTCGGCCCATCTCCGAGGCGGGAGGAGGCAGCGGAGAGTGACCGGCGCCATCCGAGCGGCGCCTGGAGCCACCCGGAGCGCCGGGATGCTGCGCGGGCGGTGCGGGGCCGCGGGCGGTGCGGGGCCGCGGGCGGTGCGGGGCCGCGGGCGGTGCGGGGCCGCGGGCGGTGCGGGGCCGCGGGCGGTGCGGGCCGCGGGCGGTGGGGCCGCGGGCAGGGGGACCCGAGCGCTGCTCTAAGGACACGTCACCGCTGCCTTCCCTTCCCGCCGCGCCGCCCGACGGGAGCCGTAGTGCCGGCGGGGCTCGGCGGGGCCGCCACACAAAGAGCGGGGGATCGGCTGTGGCGGCCGGGCCTCGCCCCCCGCCCCCTCCTCGCCGTGCCGCGCACTCCTCCTCCCTCTCCCGGCTGCCACGTAACCCCGCTGCCCGCAGGAACTCCTCGCCGCCGCCAAGGGAGGCAGCGCGCCCACCCCGCTGCCCGGCCCCGCACGGCCTCCCCTCCCTCCCGGGGCGGCGGGGGGGAAGCGGGACTCGGGTGCTGGCGGGAGCCGCAGGCTGCTCCGAGCCGAGCCGGGGAAGAGGGCGTTCCCCCGGCGGAGCGGGGATGCAGCGCAGGGAGGGCGCCCGCGCTGGCGCCCGGGCCGTGCTGCGGGGCGGCAGTCGGCTCCTTTCCCGCGCACACCGTGGGCGGGCGGGCAGGTGCGCCGGGAGGCGGTGGCGCTGACCCTCGCTGCATCGCGACTCCCGCGCCCTCCCGCTCCCTCCCTCCCCTCCAGCACGGAGAGCCCCCGGCGGAGCAGGGGGAAGCGCGACGAGGACCCCGGGCGGGGGCGTTGGTGCCGCCTCACCTCGAACATGAGTCCCAGCAGGAAGATCATGGCCATGCAGGACACGATGTCCGCATGGTTCTGCACGATGAACTCATGGCTCAGCACCGGCGGGTTCTTGTTGCTCTTCTTACGGATCGCCATGGCGGGCCGGGAGCTGGGCGCCGGCGCCGCCGCCTCCCCGCTGCCAGCACAGCTCCGCTCGCCGCGGCCAGGAAGAGGCGGAGGGGGAGGAGGCGGCCGCGCAGCCGGGGAATGGCACGGCCGCCGCTCCGCTTCCCCCGCCCGCAGCGCCCCTGCCGGCCGGCGGCGCCTCCGCCCGCGCTCCGCCCGCCCGGGGGCGGCAGTTCGAACCCACCAACCCGGCAGCGGCCCCGGGACGCGGCGTGGCAGGGACTCGTCAGCAGAGCCGAGCCGAGCTGAGCCGTGCCGTGCCAGCTGGGTAGGGGTGCTGCGTCCTTGGCAGCACCGGCCGGATACTCGCTGGCCGTAGCCCGAAACCCTCGCGGGGCACCGGCCCAACTTCACTCTCTCAACGAGGTAGCGGCGACAGAAGATGACTGGGGGTCCCGCCAGGTTCGCGACCTAACAGAGCGGTCTGCCCCCCGCTTCGGGCTGTACCCCGGAGCCGGGCTGGACTCCACTCCCTCCCGGCACCCCCGCCATCCAGGTTCACTTTTTTTTTTTTTTTTTTTTCATTCTCTCCTTCCCCGAAGCTAAGCTTGGTTGTCACCAGACTCCCGCCAGCTGTAAGACGGGCTCCTGGAGGGTGCAAGGAGGACGCCGCGCTGGCCGGGCTCGTTCTGGGCACGGGCGAGGCGCAGCCGGCGGTCCCGGTGTCACCAGGCCAGCAGCGGCTCCCGCGCCCCTCCGCTCACACTGCAGTGTGCAGCCAGAAACAACAAGTAACATGTAACAATAACAGTAACAACGAATCCAAGAAAGGAGAGGGAAGAAAAGCTAACCGAGAAGTATGGAAGAGACATTAACAGGGATTCTAGAAATAGATTAAAAAAACAACCCAGTCACAGGAGGCTCTTGCCTGGTTTAAAGGGATGAATGAAGAGGTCTGAGAAATCAACACTGATGTGGAAGACATCCAGGCTGAATTCAGCTGTCCTTCATCCCCTCCAAAATTCACGCTATGTTTATTTATTAAAGCTTCTGGGTGGCAGATACTCCCCGTGGATATATGGAAAAGAAAGATCAAGAAAATGACTAATTTATAGCTGAAATTTAGTGTTGTCAGAACGGCTTTTGCTGCCAGCAGCTAATGAATACAGTGTAAGAAATTAGGGTAAGAACTTAAGGTGCAACTGTTTCATCAGTATTGCTTTGCCTTGCCAGAATTGAGAGCATGAATCAAATATATTGTATGAGATGTTGGTAATAGGTTCGTTTCTTCCTACTGTATGGAGTCGTGACTCATGGACCAGACTGATATCCACGTTTTTCAACTATAAAACATCTTCATCAGCCGTGTAGATACTTGGAGGTTTCCTCTGAATTTCATAAAACCATCAGAGAGATATAATTGGTGTCTGGAGATGATCTAGGATACTTAAAAATACAGAAAAGGCGACAGAAAAATTTCCTTTCACTGCTGTATTTTTTTTTTTTAAGCTTAAACAGAAGCAGCATTCATATTTCAGTCCCAACATGTTTTATACCCTAGAAATCCCTTAATCCCCTGGCTACACTAGTATTTGGTTACTCTAAAGTAAGCAGAACACTATTTCAACAATAGCAATGTGAAAGTATATCCCTGATGGCATACAGTGTAGTCATGGATGTAACATACTGCACCTGTGAAATACATTGGGCTGGGATAAAAATTGGAATCCTTTTTGCAGTATGTTTGCATCTGTTTCCCACCTCAGACTTAAAAGAAATCAGGTCATCTCATCTCCACAGAATGTAACAAACAGGACTTAACTGGGACAAGACGTGCTTTCCTCAAGCTGTAATCAGCAAGTGCCTTGAGCATTTGGCTGGATGTCCTGTCATACAATCACCAAGACCATTGGTTTCAGCTTGGCTTTAAGTTTGTCCTGATGACACAGTCTATACTGCTATACTGAAATGGAAAACATGGCAAGCTGTCACCTCATCTGAAGTTTCCACACCTTCCTTTTATCAGAAGTTCCCTCCTCTGCCACATGAAGTTTCATATGGCTGTCTGGGCCATAATAATCTAAAACACCAGACAGACAGCCCTCACTCTGCTTCTTGCCAGTGGGTGGCTGGTCTATGTTTGCCAGGTTTCTTTCCAGATATCCATGTTTTGCAACACTAGGCTTCAAAATGGTCACATGATTTAGGAAGGAAGTTCCCTACCACCTGAAACAGGGGAAGCTACTAGCACCCGTGCATGTGTGTGCTCAAAACTTCACCAAGGAAACCGAACAGAGGTGGCAAGACTGTGGAGACTTTGAGAGGAAGAGTATTATAGCACCTGCAGTAGTAAGACACAAATAGAAGAACACTCTTCCTATTTAGGAACCTTTCCTGAATACACTTGTCATCAAACATGCTTAAAGATAGAACCAAGATCAACTTTAAAAGAAGTCTAAATAAGCATGTAAGCAAGAAACAGAATTAGCAAGAAACCCCCAAAAGGTTATAATTACCATCAAACTTCTCACCTACGTCTTAAACCTAATAAATGATGCAATCTCTCAGGACAGAATCTTCACATTAGCTGGCAGGAAGGCTGGAAACACAACTTGTGCTTCCTCCAGCTTCTGTCCTCAGCTGTTTAGAAAGTTAACACAGCAAATGACATTTGCCCTTCTAGCCTGTTGAGACAGAAATTGCTGCTTCTCTTGTTTTTATCTGTAACTTTCAACTAACATTCTGCACAGATGAACATATTCTCATAAGGGATAGGCTAATCCCCATTTTTATACATAGGTAGCCTATAGCTTACATTACCACCGTTTTTAAATAAACATTCCATCTGACAAAATCAACAAGGAGTCTTGAGACCTTTACAACACATCATAGCAGATGTAAGCACCCTTTATTACATTACATCTTAGTAACAGTGCAAACTCTGCTCTTCATCTTTCAATGACACAATACACAATCATTAATGACTTCTCTGGTTAAACTGCCCTTTTCCTCATTTTGTTTTTGAAGATGTCAGGCATTTGTTGCAGCACAGCACAGAACATGAAGTTCTCTGATTTGTATTCTCTTGCTCTCTTCACTGCCTGCAAGTTCCAACAATTCTTTAATTGGATTCTAAAGCCTTTTCCCTGTATTTAAAAACTTACAGTAAAACAGAAAAAGTGGTTAGGCAACATTACGTTTCTTCTTTAGATTAAAAAGAGAATGAGATATCACCTCTTCATACTGCTTTTCTCCTGTTTTATGTGCTCAGACCTCATGACAGAAAACTGTGTCATTTCACTGGTATTTCTGTTTTCCTGAAGCAAAATGACATAAGAGCATGTGATTTCTTTTTTTTTTAAAGAAAGTAGTGATAGTTATGCTTTTATTCCTAACATGGAAAAGATAACTACAAATTCATGAAATAGCTACAGGAGAACTAATTATTAAATGGCAAGAAGCCCCTGAGAAAACTTCTGAGTAACTATGAAGAGAGAAAGAATCCAAAAAGAATTGAAAAAAAAAAATCTTTGTGCAGGGAAGAAATAAAAAGAATCTGAAATGGAAAAATGCAAGTAAACAGAAAGACAAAAGAAAGGAAAACTAGGAGACCTGAAAAAGACCTCAAAACAGCACTGCACCAAGTTAAAAATGAGTGCATGTCATGACATGGCCAAAAGTCAGATCAATTAAATTTGCAAAATGCATCATTTTAGCAGAAAGTAATTATTTCCCTTCTGAAGGGGTCTGGCTGCTACTTCAGAATATTTCAGTTTTGGATGCTGTTCTCGGGACTATTTTTGTTTTGGATTTGTCCCATCTGATGAGAACAAATGCCATCAACTTCATAAAATAATGCTAATTATGATGACATGCCTTTACATATCCAAATGTATTCATGTTTCACAAATGAGGGTACAGGATTGAATGGTGAAAGGTTTTAAGGGACATATATTTGTCTGTGGTAGTTTCAAAACATTTCATATCTGCTTTTATTTTTTAGGGTTGAACCAACATTGAAAGAAGTGTATGTATCATTAAATCCCACACACTTTGAACACACAAAGTAATGCAAATATTTATGCACTATTCTTCAGGTGTAAGCTACACAGAGAACTCACAGTTTAAATTAATCATCATTGTATTTTAATACACTTTAATACACTTACAATCAAATACAACCTTTAGTTAAAATATTTGTAATTTAAGTGGATTTAACAGGAAAACTTGAAGACTGTTAGTTATGATGTAACAGAGAAGGTTAACTTCATATGGTGTGTAATACATATCTCAATTTATATAGATTTTATAATCACATTCTTGCAGAATCTTGAAGATAAAGAATTTAAGATCCTACTGCAACTCTGCATTTTTGACACTGGTTAGTTAAAATTACTGAATCCTCTGAATGAATTCCATAGAAATAGTGTTTCCACCAGAAAACAGAGAAGCCTGAAATTACTTTCAGTGTTTGTTAAAACCTATAGCAGTGAGCAACCAGGAAAGATGAGCACAGTCAGCTAAATTAGAAAAGGAACATAACCCCAGTATTTACATCTATTAATAGAATAGAAATAACTTGGTTTTTTAGAATGTACAGATAAATTCACAAAAAAAGTCACTTTTTGAGAAGCACTAGCAAATGAAAACAGGTTTAGAATAACATATTTTCTCTTCTTTTTACTAGAGGTTTTTGATATATCTGATTTATAAAGTTTATTATATTTCTTTACGATATCGTAATATTAAGTTCATAAGACCTTGCTATTTGTCTTCTGCCACCGATGATAAAACCGGGCATTTTGTAACAAAGGTAAGATTTGGTTCTTCACGCTCATTCCATTATATTAACTCAGTACCTATCAGGATATTTTTAAAATTCCTATGAAGTACAATATGAAAAACATTAGTTAACTGACTGTAACATTGCTTTAAAACTGTGTTACTGATTTTTAAAAAAATAAGTAAAAATAAGTTTTTACTTTACATATAGGCTGAGCTCATCATTATACTTTTTCATAGAGCAATTGTGCAGATTAAATACATTCTTGAGCAATCTTGTGTAACTTATAAATTGTTTTTCCATCTGAAGCTGGGAGTTTCGTCACGTACTGTTAAGAAATAAAAGGCCAAATTACATACATACAATTACATACCAACACTTAGATTCTATTTATAAACATTAAACTATCTCAAACTTAAAGCTGTACATGCACGTGTATGTCCACATGTAATTTTTTATTAAAGCTATTGAAATACTTTCCTTCAGGCCAGTGTTCAGTTTTAAGGGAAGGTGATAAACAATAATTGTTTCAAAATGTAACCTAGCAATATCAAGAGTGATTAATAAAAAGGGTTTAATAATACTCTAGTTATTTAAAGTTCAGAATATGAAACTTTCTAGATATTAAGAAATCTGAGGTGGCAGAGCCCTTGTTGTACTTTCTGAAGTATACAAACTTTAGAGGGAAAATTAGGAATAGCCAAATTATTTTTATCTCTTCATTGGCTGTGATATAATGACCACATTATTTATATCCAAACCTGGGAGAAAGCTTTCATGCACATATTGTGCTCATCTGTAAAGGCAGCGTCACTCCCAACTGAAGTTATAAAAGTCATGTACTAAGAAAAACTGCAATCCCTGGTGGGAAGCGGTACATTAGTGACTGCAGCAGACAGCATATGGCCATCATTCGCATTGAGAAACTCCCTTGTAGGGTTGTAATGTGCCTGTCACACTCATTAGCGATACTGACAAGATGTTTCTTGGGAAAAATATTTTGTGAAAATTAGGCAGACAGTGTTATGTCTACAGCTCAAGTCTTCCATAATGAGAACAAAACTTGAAATGCTGCAACTCCGAGTAGGTGGAAAGGACATCAAAGGACATCAAAATCAAATGAGCAAGTACCATGAGAGTACACAAGCATTTGTATGCTATGTTTTCCCTAACAGATGTCCTTAATTTGAACTGAAAAATGGACAAAGGTCACATGATGTTAAGTGTTTACCATAGACCTGGGCCTAGGCTTGTATTTAAAAATTCAGCAACTGCAGAGATCAACAAAAAAAACCCCAAACAAGTGTTATGATGAGATTGTTTTCCTCCTTCTCTGTGAGCACAAACTGAAGTTTAAAAACCAAACCAAACCAAAAAACTTCAAAGGGCAGTTCTTGTGCTTCCTGGAAAACAGGAGCATATATCTGAATCAAGGACCTCCAACTGGAGTCACAATTATTCTGATTAGTATCTCCTCTAGTTATTTAAACTTATTAATAGTTTCAAGCAATTGATTCTTTGTGAACAAATAACTGTATCTGCTGTCTCTTCAAAACTGAAGAGTGATTTCTGAAGAAAACTGAGTTCTTTTTGTTCAGTAAACACGGAAATGGTGTTTTTGGGAAAAAAACCAACCAACCAAACAAATACCCTTAAGTCTGTAGCTCACTCAGACAAAGTAATTCCCAGATATTCAAGATGCACACAGGCTTTTGTAGGGAAGACTTCAAGTCTACCTTTCAAGGGAAAGTTAATTTATCCACTACTTGATCTAAACAGAAAATGCTGTTTCTTAAACTACTCTATTAGTGAAAGGAAGGGATAACCAGTCAACAGCGCCTGATGCCCTTCAGGAATCTGCTGGAGCCGAAGTGTAGAAACGTGTAGGCCAATAATGTATATTAATAACCAAGAATTGAGATAACATTTAAAAGCTGATGCAGTATCATGCTGGTAAGCTTCTATGGCATTCTGCGCAAGTAATCCTAAAGACAACATTTTCTGAACTTCAGTAATGACTGTATTTGTGTGACTCTAGTCTATTTTCTTTGAATAAAAAGGTTATTATTATTACAAAGATTAAGTTTCAGTTGTATCAATTAGTATCTAGTAGCTGTTTTATCATTAAACTAAACAGAAGGTCTAAGCTGAAAAAAACCCACTAATGTTATGTTGTTATTCAGGCTGGCAAATGCTGAAAATCTGAAACAGCTGTAAATATTTGTGTAATTGCTTACGTATAAGTAGACAGTCCTGGGTGCAGTTATGTAATGAACAGGAAGAAATATATTCCTTAGCTTCTGTCTGAATAACATTTCCATATGCACACGCCATTACAGAAATAGAAACAGTAAACTAAATACAGTTGCTCTGCTTAGGTACTGTACTAATCAGAAATTGTAAAAATTTACACTGCTTGATTTTAAGCATCTCTAGAACACATACACACAAAAATACACATTTGAGAAATGCAGAAACTTAAAAGCAAACCCATAAAATGCTATGTACTTGCAAATTTAGGTATGAATTCCAGAAAATACACAAAGTTATAAATGGTAGCATTAGGAATGTATTCTATGATATGCTGTAAATAAAAATTTAAAGGTATCTGCATTGTGCTCTAAGCAAGTCACAGATACTTCGTGTAATATTCTCTAAAAGTTTGGAAATACTGTACAACCATTTTGTATATTACTCTCTTGCATTTTTCCCCCTCTAAAAAAATGCACTATAATAAAATGAGTAACAGTACATAGAACATGCAAATAAAAATGACCCTCTTTTTACCCTCCATCCACAACTTACACACTCTTCCTTCTTTTTCCAGCTTCTTCAAGTGGACTAAGAGGTTATTCTCTGCTGCTGGAAGTAAATTTTCAGGGATTTCCTAATGGGAGCAAAAAAGATGCATGTTGTGTTTGTTTAAATATCCATCAATTATTTTTTCAATATATGGAACTCATGGTTTATTACCACACATTTTCCTCTTCCGAATTGTCATGCTGAACATTCAGTTAGTTACAGGAAACTGAGATGAGTAAATAATTTTCACACCAGTTAAACTAGCAGTCTAACAATATGGGTTTTTTTACTTGGCTCATTTTTTGCATTATCCATTTGTATGATGCAAACTTTGGCCAGCATCAAGAAGACTGCTCTTCTGAGCTTGGTCTGCACTGGGTTGTCAGTGCAGCTGAGTATTTTTAAAGACAAATTTAAGACATATTTCTCCACATATACCTATCTCTTCTATTCCACGACAACATTTGCATAGGTTTAAATATCCTGTAGTGATTAGTATCTGAAAATAAGTGAACACTTAAAAAATATAACAGCTTCAGGAGGACAAAACATCTCTTAAAATTTTTCAGTGCTCATTAGGTAAAAAATGGTAACATTGGTTGCCCAGAGAAGCTGTGGCTGCCCCATCCCTGGAAGTGTTCAAGGACAGTGTAGGTAGGGCTTTGAGGAACCTGGTCTAGTGGAAGACATCCCTGTCTGTGGCAGGGGGGCTGGAACTAGGTGACCTTTAAGGTTCCTTCCAACCCAAACCATTCTATGATTCTATGACAACTGTTTAAAATCCCCCTCTCCAGATCTATCATCCTAAAAGTAAAGCTTTTTTTGTTTTGTTTTTGAAAATTAAAAAGTTCTCAATAATATGAATGTGGCAGGAAAATTCACTAGAGAATTAGTTAAATAAGTTGTGAACCTTTAGAATACTTAAGAGAGCATACACTTATCTGTGTAATATAGAGTTTAAGTAGTATTGAAAAAATTCTTATATATATAGGACAAGTGATTTGTGATTTACATAAATATGACAATGGCTGTATACTTAAAAACTAGTTGATCAGGCTGGAAAACTGCAGAAGCTGAACTGCCACAGGTACATCAGCATTGCAAAACATTCAATTTGATGTAGTCATTCTTTTGGAAACGGGGTCAGCAGAACCATGAAAAATGAGTCCTGAAGCTGTTACAAACCTGTGCACAAGCCAAAGCCATTTGGGAACTTTGTCATCTTCCTCCTAAGTAAATGCTGTATCTCTTATCTCTGCTTGCTAGGAAGGGCAACCCCCACATAACAGGGAGAAATTGCAGAGGTTACATGAAGAATGATGAAGTAGCAAAGAAATACTCTTACGCCTGTCTGACACACACAAGCTATCCAACCTATGAGTTGCAATATCCATCTCTCTGGAGCTGCAGTTCACCTGCAGTCTCCTGCAGACTGACAAATCAGGAACTAGAAGTTCTAACCAATCTTCAGGAGACTCCAAACACAGTTTGGCAAATCAGTGACTAACAGCCATTTTACACTTTTCACTTAGAACCAAGCACTACAACTTTATTTTTGCTTCATCCTATGTGCAAAACTGTGCTTAGGGCCGTCTAGATAGTGAAATAAAAAGTTAGTAAGAACCATCTGGGTCTCACACCAATGAAGTGCTTATGCAATACAATTTAGATGCAGTCATAAGTCAATCCTGAATAAGCAGAAATTTTTTTTTCTCTCTTTTAATAGGCCACCATGGTCTTCACTCAAAGGCTTCAACCATCACGTACAATTTTATGAACATAACCTCAATTTTCTTTAGCTTGATCTAAAAACTTTTAATCAACAATTACCTTGTATACTATCTTTACAAGCTCTGAGGATGTGTATGATTTTCCAGCATTCTTCTGGAACACATTTATAATTTGCTGTTCACGTGCAATTCGGTGAGAAATGTAGTTTTGGATTCTAGTATTTGCATCACGTACTACAGGGCCATGACCTAAAAATCAAAACACACATACCAGAGCACTATTACTCAAATCTGAAATTAAGTATGCTACTGAATAATTGAAACATTCTTATGTAAACTCTGGTAGATTTAAGAGTCATAAGAAAGAAGCAGCATCTTTTTGTATCACCCTGTCAGAGTATCCTTGATGTTAAACTGTCAGACACTCTTTGAATGATTTTGCGTGGGGGTTTTTTTGTTTGTTCGGTTGGTTGGTTGTCTTTCTCCCCCATCATATAAATAGATCAAATTTAAATTTGAATGTCTGTATCACAGTCTGCAACTGAAAAGCATTACAATGGAAAGAAAGAATTAGGATATGAAAAGTCTGAATGGACAAAAGGAATACGTCACATGGAATAAGGAAAGCAAGGGAAGACTAGGCTATTAGAAAAAACGGAAAGGAGTTCACTGCTGAGCAGATTTTAAAATGAGATTCATGTTATTATAGTATCTTTGTTTGCCTGTCTCCCCCTCCCCAAAGGACATTGATACTGATGATTTAAATTGATACTGGCCTTTGAACAATAGTGGCTGACGTAAGGGATTCAGGTGCTACTGTCCTGTTGGGGACTACCTAGCAAGCACTGAGGAAGTATCTTTAATTGTGACAGGTAATTTTCCAGGACGGATCTTCAAAACTGATTCATACACTGTATTTTATTCCTTTAAAAACATAAGTGATCATAAGTATGCTAAAAAAAATTAATAGAAGGGACAAATCAGTGAACCAATCAGAATGTGCCAGCGCAGGAATAAGCAAGGTACAGGGAAAGTTACAGGTGGGTCATTTTATGTCCGGCTGGTTAATAAACAAAACACACATGTTTCTTTCCTGGACTGATTGCAGCAGATCAGAAACGTTCAACTTACTGTCAGGTCTTTGAATCACCTTACAAAAGGGCTTAATTGGTAAAGCACTAACCTTTATGGAAAAATCAAATACTGCCTCATGGTACACTAAAATGACAGATAAAAATACTTTTCAGCCATGAGAATTACATGCATGGAAATTAATGTTTTATCTATCGAGAAATGTGATGAATATTCATCACATGCTTTTTACAGCAAGATTTCCTATTTCTTTGCCTGTATATCTCAACTCACCTGAAGTAGCAATAGCAATTTCCAGCTCTGCCATTACAAACTCTGAGTAATATATATAATTAGTAGAAAAGAAAATACTGTAAAAACCCATAGCTTTCTTTTAGAAGCTATTTAGTATCATTCAAATTGGATAGTTTCTTTCGAGATTCTTGGACTATTTAAAAAAATCACCTTATTCTTTACTTGTACTTTGGGTTAACTGACTAAATGGCTTTTTAATATTAAGGTTTTTAAATTAAAGTTTATTTTTCCTGAGGACAGGCAACTTATAGAAAAAGAGCTATTAATTTTTCATGTTTTGAATATCTGTGAACTAAAGTGCCAAAGGAATCTGTTCTTCTCTAAGTCAAAATATACACATCTCAACTTATACACTCACTTCAGCCCATTTGAAATTACTAAATATAGCTTGAAGCTTACCTTGTGAAAATACAGTATTATAAATATAAGATACGTAATGTGCAAATATAAAACTATACTGTCATATGCATTTATATTTAATGATTTCAAACATTTAATCTGAAGCTATTGCCCCTTAAAAAATAAATTAGAAATATAACACTGCTACCATTTTTAATAACAAAACTTTAAATTTAGAAAAAGCACATTAATATATACAAAGCAGAGACTAGAATGGGAACTGTCCATTCTCTTGCATTCTCTAAGGACAGAGGTCTCATTAAAATAATCAAAATTAAGGCCTACACATGGAATCACAAGGCATCTGAAAACCTGTTCCCACTCTTCCAAGTGATTTAACTGACTTAAACTACAAGACCAATGTCAGGACCTGAAATGGAATCCATATTTTGCAAAGTTAAAGGCACTTCATATCCATTACATCATGTGATCCCTAGCTGTTGTGTATGCATATACATACATTAAAATGATGTCAGAAAGCTAGGAACTAAATCCAGATGTGGATCTTTCTCATCCATCATTTTTCCAAGACAGCAATACAGTTAACTTCATCCATAAATGGACTTACATCTGAATAAATGTAAAACGTTTCTGAGCACATGAAAAGCACTCTCAAAATATGACTGCCATTTCGTGAATTTATATCAGACTGATTCATGTTATTTTCTAGTAACACATTGTGAGATAATACAGATTGTCTTATTTTAAATTACAGCACAAAGGATAGAACTGAAGAAAACAACTGGCTCATGAAATTTTGCACCGATTCCTAACTCCAGTACAACTTTTTCTGTATTATGAAGGAATATTGTTCATTATTACAGGATGGGGAGCCCTCTGCTGACTAAAATGCCCTTTTCTTGTCCCAAGGATTCTCATCAAATACTGGCTGTAAGTAAATGTCCTAAGTATTCTGCCTGAGCAACTTCTACATTAAATTGAAAAAGAAGCATGGAAGGGGAATGATTGGTAAAACTCAGCTACTTACACCCAGCCAGCAGTCAGCTTGTTACAAAAAATCATCTAATTCTAAGGCTGCCACATGATTGCTAAAGCATAGATGGAGAACAGAAAAACAGTTCAAGAATTATGAAGACCTAAAACTGCAGTACAGACAAAGTACTGAACTTACATGAATGTATAGTAAAGCAAACTACCTTCTGCTATAGTTACCCAACAGCATAAACAATTGTTCTGATTGAGCAATAACCATCTTCTACCCAACTGCACATACATTTTGTGGTGCATGGATGAAAAAAGAAAGTTAATTCTGAACCAACTCAGTACTTGGCTATCCATCACTGAAAATGCATAATATCAGACATAATACTTCCTAATTGCAAGTACAGTACAAGCACTGTTACACCAGTAGCAAACAGTCACAAATAAAAGGCACAAATATTCAGCCTGGGTGAATGTGTAATCTAGATACATAACCATTAAGAACAGAGTGAAATACAACAGATAAAATTGATAAACAAAACAGAATTTAGCATATATGGACTTTTGGAAGGCAGAAATTCAATCAGAGGAACAGACTGAAAGAGAGTAGAATATTTGAGTGAGATTCTGGAAGCTAAAATATTTTTTGTTTTAACAGAAGTTAAGTCAATAACTATGACCAAGTCGCTATTCTGTCTACATCAGCCTTCATGTCCATGGAATATCTATAATGATGTTTTTCTTAAATAGCATTTTTATGCTTAGATCTTAAAGCACTTAAAGGACACCTACTTCAAAAGAAGGTTATTTTAAGACTGAACACAAGACAGTAAGCTAAACATAGATGGTTAATGGAGCAATGTAGACACAGTAGCTCAGAATGACAAGTTGAAAAAGATGAAACAGAAGAAGTCAGAAAAAATCCTGAGATGTAGCTCTGAAAAAGCAAATGACTTTGTTACATAACGAGTTCTTAAAATGCAGTCTTGTCAAACAGACACATGATTTATATGAAAAGTAAATGTATTCCCAAGGTTTGGAGGAAAGAGTTGAAAAAAATGAAAGAAAAATCATAGACTGAGTGAATAGGTAACTTATTTTTAGAACATGTTTGGCCTCTTGGCTCTTGTTCAAATTTAACCCATGTCACTAACTAAGACAACCATTTCACAGTTCTGCAGCTTTTCAAGATGAATTTGTGATTAATCTGTGCTGCAAAGGACAGACATCTCTCTCAAAAAACTTTGCTATGTATTCACAGTGGTAGAATACGTGGGGATGAAAAGGCCCAAAAGAACAACTATTATTTTTATTTCCAGGGTAACATTAAGGCACATGGATAGAGTAATTTAAGAATACTAAATTTACTGTGTAATTCAAACAGTGATTTTGGCCTCTGGAGGCTTTAGGCACAGAAACACAAGATTCACCCTCAAATAGAGAAATTTCAGGAAGGAAAGATACCTATCACTAAAAGTTTTCAAGTCTTGCAAACCACCATGCCATAAAGTCATTTTAGCTTAGCACTTATCAAGTAATGAATTGTTACATCAGGAATGGTGTTTGATTGTAATAAGAGTTCTCAAATTCTTAGAAGAGATACTTCAAAATTACACAGTAAAAGAAAGAAGTTAAAAACAGAACCACTTACCTGGATATATCAAATCTGGTTTCATTTCTAACAACCTTTTCAAAGTTTTCATGTAATCATACAGGTCTTCAATTACTGTTGTTCCTTCCCCTAAAATACAGTCACCAGAAAACACAGCATTTTCTTCTTCTAGATGTAAAATCATGTGATCATCAGTGTGTCCTGGTGTATATAAAACTCTGTTTAAAGAACAACAACAAAAAAGCATCAGTTTTTCGTACAGCAAATATGCTTCATTTTTGAAGGTAGAACAAATAATAATAAATTCAGACACTTGCAAAGCAGCCCACGAGAATCAGAAAAAAATTAACAAAAAAAGGCTGAAAAGTTGATGTAACCAGGGTATCACTTTGTCTAATGCCAGTCCATTTCCTTGTACCAGGTAGAGAACACAGATCATCATCTCTAACTTTACTTACTGACATGCCCTTACTTACATGACACATCATCATACAAGTGCATTAAGGGAGCCGACTAACCATGTACAATTTCTGTTTTAGAGGGCTTTACTCTGAAGCTTTCAAAAAGAAAGATTGAAATGTTATTTCCAAATTGAAAATCGTGACATTCTTGACATACACCTTGCACTTAGCAATGAGATTAAGGATGATGTCTACTCCTTTAGAAATTACCTCTGAACTTCTGCACCTGACCCAGATAAAGTTAAATCTCTCAAAATTTATTTTTCCCTGAAAGCCTCATGGCACAGAGGAGCAGAGCCACCAAATACAATGAACCATGTAGCTGTTCTCTGTACAGGTCATTAAACATCTGAATGGTAAAGATTAAGGACCCGCATCTTGAATGAGCACTGCATTAGCATGCAGCAAAGGGACAGTGGATATGTGTGTGTATATATGGTAACCTGAGCCAAGGAGCTGCACTGTGGTGCCCTTTCACTAGGATTTCCGAAAGGCAGAAGGCCTTACACTGAGGCTGATGCAGACTGAGAGTGACACAGCTCCGACCAGCATCACTGCTGAACCTGATCACAATCTTCCTGTTAATGGCAGATGCATCAAAGCAGTGATCAGGAACTGAAAGAGCTGGTGCCAAGCATGGTGTACAGGGAAAGGCTAAACAGCTCCCAGCCAGGGCTGGGAGACCACAAGTGCAGCACCATCCAGTGCAACAACTTCCAGCTCTTACTGAATACTGAGAAAAGTATTCAGAAGAAAGCAGGTGAGCCATCACCCTATGGAATCAACATCAAAATCAAGATGACGGGTTGTATCGTGCCTTTGTGGGAAGTGTTATCCTCCAGCTCTTGATGAAACTTTACCAGGAAACCACTAACATGGAAAAACAATGGAAAATGAACCCAGCACTGCCTGGCACACCTTGAAAACTTGAAGGTTGCTAACTAAAATTTAACATGCAGATACTGTTATCTTGGACCCAGTGGTGGATCTGACAGTATCCTTAAAGAGCTTACTGGATTAACCAGGTGAAAATACCTGCTTTTAACCAAGCATTAAGTTTGGCTGCTCTACCCCGTCACGACTCTATAGGGGCTGTGATGTCTATCATAAATTCTCACCAGGCTGAACAAGGACACCAGACCACATGACAGGGAACTCCTGTGCTTAGTGGTATCATCATCTTAACTCTGGGAGCTAGCCCTCTATTTAGTCCCAGAAGTGTTGGCTAACAACACCTTAACTCTGAAAACACACTTGAACAAGCTCCCAATCCTCACAATAAAGTCCTCAAAGGTGTTGGCTAACTAGCCCTGTATTTTTACAACACACTTCAACAAGCTCCCAGCTCCCACAACAGCACAGCCAGCTTGTCTGAGCCCTCCAGGAAGTGAGCTGGGGTGTGGGACTGATGCAGGCATGAGTCTGAAGGCAGAAAAGGAACTTGGCTCAGAACAGTGCTGCCCCATCTCCATGGGATCCTCTCTGCCAATCACAGCTTTCCTGTTGTGACAGTCATAATGTTTGAGACCAAACATGCTTAGGCCTGGTCCTCCACCACCTCAAACTTCAAAATGTGCTACTCTTGTCTTACTAGGATTGAAATTTAAAAAGCTGTTTTACATCTTTAAATTTTTGTCCAAACATGGGCCACTTAGGGAAGCAAAAGGTCTTCAGTATGCAATACAATACTCTTTTAAAAATTTTTTTTTTTTTACACTAACAAAATAAAATGCTCTTGGACTAATATGTCTTTAAAATACCCTTTAAAAATACCCTTTTAAAATTTCTTTAAAATTTTCTAAAGGGGGCTTTTTTTTTCTTCCAATCAACCAGCTGACATTTTGCAAGTTTAGATATAATTCCCAGCTAAACTGAGGAAAACAAGCAAACTTTGTCCTTAGAAGTGTAATGTAAGAAGCCTAGAAAGAGAACGATCAGACCTTTTTGTTGTGTGTGTGCTTCCATGAGGCAGAGCAGCGTTCCGTTTCACACTCATTCAAACTAACATTACAGGCAATATACTCCCTGGCAAGAAGACCTCCCAGGTTGGCACCCTACAAGAACCTGATAGGTTCAAGGTTTAAAATTTAACATTTTAAGTATTAAATGTTTTAGTGTCTCCTTGGGAAATATTTTTAAAGTAAAGAGAAAGGCGTGCTAAATAATCCATCCAGACTACCATACACTTTCACAAAAGTATCAATTTTAATAGTAACTACTTATGTACAAGTGATAAGAAAGCATGTAAAATTTTATTTGATTTTCCCAAAGAAAATATTTTTCTAGGGCTAATTCCTGATAATTCTTATTCATAAAACTGATTTCTTTGTATTAACATACCTGTTGGACTATGATAGGAAGTCCACATGCATAAGTGCTGAAAAGACTAGATGTATGGATTTGCAGTCATAGAAATTAGGATACATGTATGTGTCAGAATTCTGAAGAAAAAAGAACTTGCAGAAATTGGTGTTTACCTGAGTGTGGCTCCCTCTGTCTGTATCACATCTCCGTCTTTAAGATAAAAATATTTATGTCCTCCTTCTATTGTTTCTTCACAGTGAGGGACACGAGGGAGCTTAGAGATGCGATATGCCGAGTCTAGTATTTAAAGAAAGTAAAGAAACTGATGTTTGGAATTTTGTCACTAACAAAGCTAATTCCACAGGAAGGTTACTTTTTTAATGAGTACTATTAACTACCACACAGTATGAATACAAAACTAGAAACAACAAATTCTGTAGAGTAACTTTATGTTTGTAAAGCAACCTTATTCCAGAGTCAAAAACATTTAATAGAGAAAGCCACTGATTTTGAATACTGTACTCTGTACCAGCAATAAATTAGAAGATGAAAAAAACAGTCACGAATGAAATTAAAAGGAAAGTCAGCAATTATTATATTTTACAAATATTCCTTCTTGACTCATAAAGAGCCACCCTGCATAAACTTTTACAACACCACTAAGATTTCTGCACTCACATTCTCATTATGATTCAGAAAAGCATCATTCAACATTTGCCTAAAGCTGGATGAAGACTTTTTGAGCTGCAACTTCCCTCAGCTTTAATTGTTCTGAACTGTGTATGCCTTGGCTGGAGCAGCTATGGAAGGCGTTTATATCCCTTGCTAGTCTTTACAACCACGCTCAATGGTTGACAAGCCCAAAATCCTCACCAAGACACCACTTTCAGTTTTTCTTTGCAGAAAAGCACTTGGCAGTTTTACAAAATAAAGCCTGTGACAAAGTCCGTGATAAAGTCCAACAATGTTAAGAATTACTGCATTATCCATACTGCTTATTCTCTTCCCAGATACCAAAGCAGAAATGTCTTCTACTGTTTATCAACATGGAATACACATATTTAGATCAGAATTTACCTGTGGACTGCCCTACCAGTTTTCCCTCATGATCTGAGGCCTATGAATTTGTGAGCAATTATTAGTGGGCTCCTGTAAGAAATCTCGAAGTTATGCATGTTTCTTTTTCAAAATTCAAGTTATTTGTTTTTACACAAGTGAAGATAACAATCAATTTGTCACTGCAGTCAATGTAAAAAGGAAGGATTATCAAGTTTTTCTCACATCACTTAATACCATGTAAACTGCTGATGGTAATCTAAGTTCTTATTTTTCACACAAAAGAAAAAATCACTATGAAGGTAGGCACAGGCGTTGAAGAAAAACTGTAGTACTACAAGTACAATATTCAGATTATTCATTGCTCTCATTCAACACACTGCAACAGTATCATGAAATTACATGTATTTTAAATGAAGATTCCAGAAGAATAATCCAGCTGATTTGCACAGAGGCATTTAGTTAATGTTTTTTACTTGCCATGTATCCAACACTTTCCATGTTATTATGAAATGAGGTTTCAGTATCTGAAAACTCTGGCCTACCATTCGGGACGTTTTTGCAGATATCAGGTATTCCACCAGTATGATCACGATGCCAGTGTGTCACTAAAATTTCTTGAATAGAGACATTGAACTCTGACAGTGCCTGCTTTAAACAGCTGATATATTCAGGAATAGCTGGCTCTCCGGTGTCAATCAGGACTCTTCTACACGCGGACAAAAAAAAGGGAGGGACATACAAACAGCAGAGAATTATAAGTGTTCATTTGAAACACAAATAATAATAAAAGATTGCATAGTAATGTGGCAATAACGAATGTCTCCATACCCAGACGCCATTTCTATCTTCCCGATATTCCAACCCCGTGTCATGACAATTTAAAAAAGTGGGATAAATAATAACCACAGCCCACACATTTACAACTCCGGGACAAGTGGCAGGAGCCACGGTTTAGCACGGCTGGGGAGCTGCGCGGCCCGGGGCTCCCACCCGCTTCCCTCGGGGAATTCCCAGGGGTCCGCCCAAGGGTCGCACGGCCGAGGCTCCACAACCCACCTGTCCAAGCCACCTCCGGGCACTGGCCCCGAAAATTTAATGCTGTACTGTTTCTTTCTTCTTTTTCGCCCCGATTAAGGGACCTGTGAACAGGCCGGCAGCCGCCTCTCGCTCCGGAGGCAGCGCACAGACACTGGCGGGGGAAGCGACCGGGGCCGGGGGAAAAGGGATGGGGAAAGACCTCCGCCGCCCCGTCCCCTTTCCCATGCCCCGTTCCCGAGCAGGGTCGGTACCTGTGCCCGGTGCCCACCAGGTAGGTGTTGGTGCCCTGCAGAGTCATGGGCCCCGGGTTGCAGCCCAGCACCCGCACCACCCGCGACGAGAGCCGCTCGATGCGCGGCAGCAGCGACACCATCCTTGCAGCGAATTCCACCGAATTCCCGGCTCCGCTCCCCTCACAACACCAGCGGCGCGGAAGACGGAAGCCTGTACAGCCGGTGCTCCGCCTCCCGGTCCCCGGTCGCGCCGCCTTCCGCCCGGCTGCGGGGCGAACCGGCCGTGAGGCGGCTCCTCCCGGCCCGCGGCCAGGGCGGGGCGGCCGCCGGGCCTCGCCTGGCACTCGGCTCTGGCAACGGACACCGGGGTGATCGATCCCCTGGGATAAAGTTATCCTTCGTGCAGAACAGTTCTCAGGGGAATTCAGTCCTCCTTTTTCGTGTCGGTGCCTCGCTGCTGCTCAGGGAGAAGCAGGTCCACGCTCTGCTGGATTCTTCCAGGAGATTTGTTGTAGGGACAGCTGTGCCTTCTCTATATTCCAGGAACGTGCCCACTTACAGAGTATATAGGAGCTATATATGCTCCTGTATGGCATTTAGGAGCCATTTAGGATGCAGCATTTAAAAAAAAAAAAAAAAGAGAGGGCTACTGGAGAATGTCCAGTGAAGGGCCAGTAAGATTGATGAAGGGACTGAAGCATCTCTTTTGTTAGGAGAGGCTGAGAGAGCTGGGACTGTCCAGCCTGCAGAAGAGCAGGCTCAGGAATATCTCATCACTGTGTATAAATATGTAAAGGGAGGGTGCATAGAGGACAGAGCCAGGCTCTGTCACAGGGCCATTGCTGCTGGCCCTGTCGTGGTGCCCAGTGCCAGAACCAAAGGCAATGGGGCACAATCCAAAACACAGGATGTTCCTTCTGAACATGAGGAAACACTTTTTTACTGTGAGGGTCACCAGGAGCTGGCACAGGTTGCGCAAGGGTGTTGTGGAATCTCCATTCTGGGAGATACTCAAAAGTCATCTGGACACAGTCCTGGACAACTGGCTCTAGGTGGCTCTGCTTGAGCAGGGGGTTGGACCAGATGACCTCCACTGATCGCACCTAAGCCATTCTGTGATTTTGTGAATTTTTGTCAGTGTCAGGAAGTGATACTGTGTTTGCAAACAGCTTTCGTGCTAGAGTCTGCAAGGTGCTGAAATTCACCTGTTTGGCTTTGCAGTGTCCCTTCTGAAACCCCCAATTATTTACCTTTCAACTGACATTGTTAAAGAAATTAAGGCAGACTTGTTCTCTCCTTAAACCACCTGTTAAGAATAAACATAATTTAACCTGAAGTAAAAGCAGGTAATATTATGGGAACTTTACCAATATTAGAATTTCAAATATAATCTGATTGTTTTATACCTGTATTGCATCCTATATGTTACCTATAAGAAATAAATGTAAATTTCTAAGATGATCATAGTAATACAAAGAACAAAAAGTGTTTGGTGGTAGTACTTTTTTTTTCCTTAAATGTTCTTTTCATTATGTTAAAATAGAAGTGCAACTCTAATGTGTGATCTAGGGCCATTTCTAGTATTTGCATGGGCAAACAGAACAGATTCTCACTGTCTTCTGAGGGGACAGAAATCCCCAAACATGGTCTTGATAGGCAAAGTTTCGAAAGACTTATTAGAAACAAACAACTCAGTGTACAGCATGGAACTGAAAAACAAAATTTTGTGGCTTCAGCAGAACTTTCTAACTTCATGAAAAGTCAAAGTTTAACTTTTTTAAAAATGTACTTAAACACTACTGTGGGCAAGTAATACATTCAATACATGCCAGGAGATGTGCTGTTAAAGGCTTCAGCATACTAACGAATGTCTGCATCTTGCCATAACAAACTGTTGTTCCCTACTCTAGCACTGGGTCTCTTTTTTCCTTCCCCTGTTGGGAACTGATTCTCAGCCTGGCACAGACCTGACACCTTTGGCTTCCTGGGCAGAGTGAGGCAGGGGATGGTACAAGGCAGGGAAGCAGCTCTGAGGTAGGTCCTGCTGCCTGCCTAGCCATGCTGCACTTGCTGGTGTTGGCTCACAACTCAGATTTTCAGCTGACCTTCAAGGTCAGAGAACAAACGGTGCCTTTCAGCTGCTTGACCAGACAGCAGTGATGCACCTTTGCTGTCCAGGGACCAACAGCAAGCTTGCCTCTAGGCTGTGTCATCAGTGCTAATTTAGCTACACCTAAAGTGCTTGCTAACCCGTCACCTGCATAAACAATGTGCATTACCTTGCAGTCACCCATGCAGCCAAATAGCTCGCCTCCTGATGCACAAGTGACTTGCCAGGCAGTACCTTGTGCAGGCCTCTATTATGCAGTAACTAAAAAATTTACTCCTGGACACGGACTTCAGTTGCAGCTGTTAATTGGTTGGCATCACAAAAGCCACAGACAGAAAATGTGCCACTGATGCTTATAATGCCTATATTTAGGCCTTCAAGACAATCTCTTTGATTTATATGATAAACATTTACTTATTTGAGATTTTAGATATCTATTCACTTATTTGAGATATAAACCCATTGCATTTATTTTTTATTTTCAAGCTCATTAAAGCATGAACTACAGACAACAGAAAGGATGTTTCAGGTCAAAGGAAAGAAACTTTTTGTGTGTGGGTATGCTGCTGACATAAGCAAGAAAACCCTATACACAATATTCCAGTCTTGTCCTGTATCATTTGACTGTATATTGTTTTATAAGCAACTGTGACCTGAATTTACCTAATCCTGAGGTGCCCTATTATGCTTATTTTGTAGCTGTTTGTTGGTACATTCAACCCATTTTCAATCTTTAGTTGCTGTGTCATTAGAAGAAGTTAATACCTAAGCCAAGGCAAATTGTGTATTTAAGTGGTTTTCTACTTCTAAGAAAATTTTGAGTGTTTAGAGAAGGTTTCTGAAATGATTTATCTGAATTTTACCTGTTGTTGATTACTCAGAAGTAGTAAGGTGCCAGTTACTTTTAACATCACAGGACTTTTTTTTTTTTTCCCCCCCTCAAATTGAGAATTGTTTGGGGAACTCTGCACTTGCTCCCCAGGGAATACTCACTACTTTTACTGTCCTGTAGTAAAGCATTTTTTCATGTTAGGCAAGAGCTATGAATCTGTTTCATCTGTAGGTGGCAGCAATGGTGCCTTTGGAAAACGAAGTACAGGTTCCTCTATTCCTTTCCTGCACAAGTCCATCTTTTTAAAAAGTCCATTGTTTCTCTTCTAATACAGAAGTTAATAGGCACGTAGTGAAAGTCTGGCTATTATGCTCTAATATGGTATAAGAAAATATGAGTGTATATCCTCTTAGCTCTCTCTTTCGTTTTACATTGTAAAGACAAAATTTTGAGGTGAAAAATGTCCTAAAGTAGATAATGTTAGACTACCAGTAAAACAAAAAAAAAGCAAAAGAAAGTGCTGAGTTTCAATAAACCTAAAAAGAGATTGTTGGTGATATACAATGTGATGTATCATGTCACTGTTTGAATTTTTAGCACTCAAGAAATCTTTGAGTACTGGCACTTGGCTTTCTTCCACATTTTAACTGTAAATGTTGAGGATAAATGCCTCTCCACTGTGGCTGTGTAATAGCCTAATAGAACTAAGCACAAGCATGTGATTCTGCAGTAATTAAAATCAACTGAATAGTAGATAGAAAATGTCTTGAGAGACTTATCTTCATAGACATTAGTACATGAAAGTCTTGTTGAGAGGATTTTTAATTGGTAGATTTTAAAGTTATTTTAATGCAATTACAGATGCTATTTATAAAAGTAAGAGATGCGTATATTTTTTGCTACTTGCAGAATATTTCTTTCTGTTTTGTTGTATTTTGAAGCTTTTTATCTGGTACAGAGATAAGTCAAGAGACCTTAAATCAAACAGAAGTGAAGAAGACTTTGCAGAGAGAAAGGCCATAGGCTGCAAGATTCCTACATTAAGAGGCAACATTGTGTAGAAAATGTAAAAAGTCAGATCAGCAGATTTGTGGGAGATGATTAGAGGCAATGTTGAAGGGTCTGGGACATCTCTGTAATGAGGAAAGGCTGAGAGAGCTGCGACTGTCCAGCCTGGAGAAGAGAAGGCTCAGGGTTCCTCATCAATGCTTATAAATACCTGAAGGGCGAGTGCAAAGAAAATGGAGTCAGGCTCTTCTCAGTGGTGCCCAGAGCCAGGACCAGAGCCCATGGGCACAAACTGCTCACAGGAGGTTCCTTCTGAACATCAGGCAACACTTCTTCAGTGTGAGGGTGAGCAAGTGCTACACAAGTTACTCAGGGAGGTTGTGTAGTGTCCGTCCTTGGGGGTATTAACAAACCATCTGGACTCAGTCCTGGGCAGCCTGTGAGTGGGCCTTCTTGAGCAGGGGGGTTGGACCAGATGACCTCCATCAGTCCCTTCCCAGCTCAGCTGTTCTGTGACTTTGCAAGATTCTCGTAAAAATCAGTATGTTAATGCTGCTCAGAGTGTAAATACTTTTGGATTCCCTGGTCAGGTGACCAGGAGTTCTGCTGTAGCAGGGTACCAAGAAGCAGAGATGATAGAAAAATGCTGGCAGCTTGTACAGCTCTACAGGAATAATTCATGAAGTAGCAGGGGAATCTATTACACTGAGATGAAGTCATCAACCAATACATTCTTTCAAGCCATGCATTTTCTCAGATAACTTCCCTTAATACCAATGGCAAAAACATTCCTTGACTGCAAAGCTGAAGTATCAAAAGTAAAGACACACAATAAATCTTCAGAAATTTTTCAGGTCAGCATTTCATCCTGTGTTTTTCTCTGCTTCTCCCAGTGAGGACCTTGGTTTCCAATGCCTGAAATAATTCAAAGATAAAATTTTCAGTGTCATGCTTCAAAAATAAAATGTTCAATGTCCTGTTGACATTAATCAAAGCAGAGAGAAAAGGTCCTTCCTACCTCATTTGGAACCAAATAAAAGGATGTGTACTGCATACCAGAGAAAATCTGTCACAATTTAGAAATGTGCTTGCTTTAATGCCAAGTCTAACCAGAAAACAAATTAATTATCCAGCCTGTAATTTAGCTTGTGAGCTACTTGATTTACACCTCATGAATCAAATATACAAACCTTGCCTCTCTCTCTGTGCTACAGAGTTTTTGTCATTTTTAAATTATAACGAAGATCACAACAGTGAATTTGTGATGTGGCTGATTTAAATCTCTAGCTTAGTTGTTATTTGGGCAAATAGCTTGCAAAGCCTATTACAAATTTTAAAAAGCTGTGGTGGAGCTGTAAGAATTTAAAACTATATACCAAATTCAGTATATAATGTATTTATTGCTCTGCTGCTAAATTATATGTGTTTTTATAACTCAGGGAGAGCATATCTCAGATGAGCAACATTTTTCATACAGAAAGGAATGATATTAATAATTGACTAAGATCAATTTTATAGGGTTTAAAAGAAACTTATGTTGTACTGGAGAGCAGGTGATTTTCAAATTTGGCCCAGATCCAAAGAGAGGGACAGTGTTGGTAAAAGCTGCTAATTGTAAATAGTCTAGTCCAGTCAGTCTGCCACAGTCTCATCTTGTCTGCACCTACTCTTGCAGTCTTATCCACTGAGGTTCCAGTGAAGTGAATGTTGTGAAGAACCAGTGGCCAAGTCCATTCCAATGGATCTTCTGCAAGTGGAACGATCAAGTCAGGAGTAAGCAAGACAGGACAGGCATAATGAAACTATTTTGTTTTTCTCTGCAAATATTATAGAGGTTTATGTTGGTGTCAGATGTTTAATTTGCTGCAAAAGCACATAGTAGCCTAATCTGACTTTAAAAGAAATATTGTCCCCGAAAGCTATATTCTGACAGAATGCTTGTATTCATTTGGCCATTTATGGGACAAAACAGGTGTCATTGTAATTGCTGAGCTGCTTCTTCTCTGACGTCCCTGGGATTTTATTGTGGAGCAATATACAACTACATTTTTAGTTAGTGAATTCATGTTGCTCACAGCCATTACGAATGAGTTTGTTGGGCATGCACACAGTAGGCCTGTTATCTTTGAATTATCCCCAAGATGATTCTGCACAGGTGGAAAGGCCTCTGCTGCGTTTATTCAGATGGCTGTTATGGCCCCACTGATGTCCTAAGGTGTTTTCCTAATGTGTTGTCTCACTGGAATGAACCATGTGCAGTTGAAACCAGGAATAATGCAGTACTGTTTTGGCTTCAGACACTGGGTTTTTTAGCTTTGGAAAATTCACTTGATCTGTTGATTCTGTTCTTCAGGTGATGATATGAAAATAATGGTGTTTCAAGCACTGCAAGGACTGCTTAGGAGTAGGATGTTTCTGACCTATGAGGGGGAAGCAGGAAGTCCCACAAGAAAAGGTAAGCATTGATATTGTGTTTGCTATAAAGATAGGATTGTACATCCTGTCTTCCTAGTCTAGAGCTATAAAAGCTATAGGCTGCTCTGGCTGAGGGTGTGCATCATCCTGTGCAGCACAGTCATCGAGACAGAATCACAACACTTGCACCTTGTACCCTGCAGCTACTTTAAACATGAATAAAAATTTCATGCTGAGTGCCAAGAACTCAGCTGGAGCAGACTCATGCAAACACCTGTAGTTTTACCAGAGGAAAACAATTTTAATCATTTGTCCTTGGAGGTGTGCAGACTCTTCATGTATCATTGCACAGAAAAGCTTTTTGTACATTTTGATAAAGTGCATTGTACTACAGTCTGCAACTATAGCAAAAAATGCAGTACTTTTTATTTTTAAAAAATTTTATAGAGTTAATAAACTTAATATATTGAAGGAATTTTATAATCTGTTAAGCTTAATATTGACTATAGACAGGGACTTCTAAACCAAATTCTTGGAACAGAATCTTTATAATATATTCTTAAGAATGACAGTTCTTTAAAGGTAGCAAATCATTAACTGTGTCACATGGTTTCCATATGAATCTAGTTTTACTTTGTGTTGTATCAACAAGCCCTTTAACTTTCTTTGTATTGCAAGTCTTGTAAAGGTATGGATGGGAAACCTGCAAATATGCAAATCTACAATTTTATGAAGTGAAAAAACCTCTATCCATGGCCAGTATTAAGGTAACCCTGCATTTTTTTTGACAGAATTTTAAAAGTATTGTGAGAAAGGAAGGATTTGCTAATCACATTTTATTGTTTCTGCTTTATCACAAAACGATTCTGTAAAAGTATTTTAGTTTTTAGAGCAGTTATATTTATGCTGACTGACAGTCACTTTACTCTTCTTGCTTCTGTCGTGTTAGATCTCATATGTTTAATAAGACTGGGGACAATATAGTTCTGAGTGATACAAGACACTCTCTCCTGTGGCACTTAATTGAACTCCACGTTGTACATGAGACCACAATGCTCTTTGGAGTGCCATCATGCATAAAATATGGGGGATATTAAAGGCTGAGATCCTCAACAGTGATTTCATCCAAGAGCAGGTGCACCTGTGAGCAGGCATTGGTGCTTGCACTTGGAACTGACATTGGACATTTGTCAGTATGGATTTGTGAGTCTCTGGTAGCATTTTTTTTTAGGTTGCCATGAGCAAAATGTAAATCCTGTGTCTTACCAGCCACTCCAAGGCTGTTTCAAGACTAGATTCCTTATTCAAGATAATTATGAGACAGTAAGCAAGCTGCCATGCTTGGTGTGGCTCTTCATTTATCTCAGCTTACCTGATGGCTTCATATTACCACCAAGATGTCCAGACAGATCTGCAGACTGCTGGCATGGCAGCAGTTTGGACAGTAGGCTTGCCAGAGGTAGAAATCACCTGGCTCAAAGCTACTCTTCTTGCTGTTGTTTCAGAGGAGTCTGGACATAGCCCACAAAACTTTCTTTGCTATGAAGTGCTCAGATACAAAAGGATGGGGAATCTGTAAAGAAAGATGAATCCAATTACCTTTTTTGTTTGTTTCAGGTGCAAAATTAGAGGCAACTCCTTGCCACTGGAATGTCTAGTACAGTATTACTCATTAAATGTGAACCTTGATATACTGCCCTCTTTGGCCATAAATTGCCTTCCAAAGAACTTTCTGTTTAAATCCAGTTATTGACTAACTAACCTTCTGCTGTTGTGCTTCCTCAGCAGTCAGATAGTGAACCTGGTCAGCTTTTTGTTAGCTTTGTTTGGTTTGGTTTTATATTTGGTTTTGGTTTTAATCTGTTCTAAAAGCAATGCATAATATTCTTGTTACGAAAAAGGGTACAGCTTGACAAAGGTGTTATGTCAACTTGCAGAATGACACGATGTTATGTAGAGTAAATACAATGTCCTTTGGAATTTTCATGAATGAACACTAGTGAAAAACTCTTGTTGGTTCCTACACAAGTTTTCAGATATAAAACATTTCAAAGAATCACAGAACAGCTGAGGTTGGATGGGACCTCTGGAGATGATCTAATCCAACCTCCCTGTCAATGTAGGTTCACCTGGAATGGATTGCACAGAATTGCATCTAGACAGGATTTGAATATCTCCATAGAAGGAGACTCTACAACCTCTGGACAGCTTGTTTTGGTGGGTTTTCACCATTAAAGTCTTACCTTATATTCAAATGGAATTTCTGGTGTTTCAGTTTGTGCTTGTATATCCTTGTCCTGTTACTGGGCACCACTGAAAAGAGTCTGGCTCCATCCTCTTGACACCTGGCCTTAAGATATTTGTATGCATTAATAAGATCCCCTCTCAGTTGTTTCTTTTCCTCCCTGAACAAGCCCAACTCTCTCAGCCGTTCCTCATGAAAGAGTTGCTCCAGGCCCCTAATCATCTTCATAACCTTCTACTGGACCCTCTCCAGTAGTTCCTTGTCGTTATTGAACTGGGGAGCTCAGAATTGGACACAGTACTCCAGCTGCAGCCTCACCAGGGCAGAGTAGAAGTGTAGAATAACCTGCCTCAACCTGCCGGCCACACTCTTTGTAGTGCACCCAGGATGCCATTGGCCACCTTGGCCGCACAGACACGTTGCTGGCTCAGGGTTAACTTGTCTATTTGTGATTGTAAACACAAAGTTTAGTTTATATTGGACTTTGCAGTGAAGTCCACTTCACAGACTATAAATGTGAATTGGATATAAATTGCATTAGTGATTTGTAAGACATTAGTGGTATTTTATTGTAGGGGATAGAAAAGAAGAGTCTAAGGATTCCTACTATCCCAGCTGAAAGATTGCCTGGGCCAGGACATGAAACCTAAGTAGGAGATAGAATGAGAGGCTAGAAAAACCTAAGGCCTAGATCCAAAAGAATAATATTTAGACACTCAGCACCTTTTCAGACTGCTATGTTTCCACTTGTCTTCATTAGGAAATTAAGAGCTTCAGTACTCTTTTTTGGGTTTGTACCTGGGTCACAGCATAGACAAGCCCAGTCAACACAAGCAAAGAATAGTCATTAAATTTGTTCATGAGTTAGTAACAAATTCTCCCATTTCATTCCTCTTAGGCAGTATGCCTGAATTCACAAAAATCCAGAGGGACCTGCCTACACATGCTCTTCCCCTGATCCAAGATCCCTGGCGCAGCTGTTCCCCATGTATTTGCTGTTGTTTGGCACTGGCACCAGCCCAAAACCAGTGGGGTTGGCATGTTCTGTTCTGCATCCCATCCTTTGTGTGCCAGCATCTTTTTTCTAAGACATGTAAATGAAATAAGGGATTTTGTAATTTTAATTTTCAGTTGAACATGAATGAGACAAAGAATGTTCTGCCATATAGCTTTTCTGTTTCATCTGGCAAATACCAAAGATCTATGGAGGAAAAATGTGTAAGGACTACCCAAAGAAGTCACAAGAATCCTTGCAGTGTTGGGCAGTGTAAATGTAGTTCAAATTAATTCTATTTGTAGTGGACTATGTAGTTAGATCATCTGTGTGTAGCTACTATTCACATAGCTTGGGAGACAACTCTCAAAGAGGTGTAGACTGCTGCAGGTCAGGTCATTACAAGCCTCTTTAACAGAAGAGCTGCAATCCTATTCAGCACTTTCTTCCTGCATATGGAAAACTAAGCAGGAATGATAAAACCACTAGATGTATGCACACAAATACAGTAACACAGTTGGAAATTGCAGAATGATGTGTACTCTGATGCAATTGTGTATACTCAAGACAGGAGTTTTCTCAATGTTTTGTGCTGTGCACAGTAAAGGAGAAGAGCTCAGAAACTGATAAAGTTCTGGGAAGGTATCAATCTTTTTCCCATAAACTGCTTTTAAAACTTGCTTGTTTCTTAGTGTTTTGCAACTGCTGGGAATTGCCTCAACAGCTGCCTGAGTGGAGAATTACTGGTTGGGAGAGTGAGTGACCTCAGCAGGTTCAGAGATGCACCTCTCTTGGCTTGACTGTTCACTGATATCTCATTACATTCTGCATTTTGTACTTGCCTGTTTAAATGGTTGTGAGAATTTAAAAGATTTGCTGTATGATACTTTAAATGAGGAAGATATTGCTACTGCTAATCTTTCTATTTTCTTCTTCTTTCTAGGAACCAGTAATGAAAACTGACTCCACCAATTAAAAAGACAATTTACATTTCTCTTTTCTGGAATAGATATGTGTCAACGAACTTAATATTTAGATCAAAAACACAGAAAAATGCAAGTCCCTTTACCATAATATGTAGAACCCTATGACCAGGTGGTATCATCAGTAAAAAGACTCTATTTTAGTAAAGCATTTAGATTCCTTTACATGCAGTGAGGAGAGAATGATAAGTGGCAGTCTAACACATGATGAAATTTACCAAGAAGAATTTTTTTTTTTTAGTTGGTGGAATTATAGTTTATATAGTTGATATTGGAGTCGACTTTTGGGTGGTTAGTAAATATTTCTGTCAAGGACAATATTCTTGGAGTATATTGATACTGTTTTTTAGAGGTCTTTCATCATTAGTAACTCAGATATTTAGTTATGAATGGTTTAAAAACGACTGGGAAGGTACTGATACTGGGAAGCTGAAATGGATTTTTCTAGTTCATCTCTTTCACTGTGGTATTTTTATAAGGTAAGTAAACTTTAAAATTTATCTCAAAATGAGAAATCATGTTCCTTTAAGACAGTTATTAAGAAATGCTTAGTATGGCTTCAGGGACAAGACCAGCTCTGGCCTTAACAATTACTGCTCCATGAAAACAAGTGGATCTTTGCCTGCTTATACCAGGATAAATTTTGTCAGGTTTTGGTGCACCTGTAGATCTTCTTTTATTTACTCATAAGTAATAATTTTTATCATTCACAACCCAATTCTGTTTGATTGATCAGCCTTTTGATAAGGCATATGTAATAAAACTGTAGTGTTGTAACTGATTAATATAAGCTTTCTAAGTGATGTTATGCACACTGAACAGCTGAGACATCTGAAGTAAGAGGTAATTTTTGAACCTGAGAATTTAATAGTATGTGGAAAACCAACCAAAATTCAGTAGAGAAATGAATAGCTGAATATAAGAATACTTGCAGCAGTACTTCTGTGGGGACTGTGTTAATGGGGATAGGAATCTTTGCTTAACTCTAAGGTAATGACCTTAACTCTAAGGTAATCCACAAAACTCTTGGACTTACCTGAACTCATACCCTTTCCTGAATGAATACCTCTTACTGTGAATTTCTGTAACTTTTGAATCTTCTTTCCCAGAATTAGCCCCATCTTCTCTGGGTGGCTTATTATGTAGCAAACCTTATTTTACCCTTTGCACTGACAATGCTGTCTACTTGATCACCTGTTCTTTGTTGCACAAATGATATTTTCTTCTATGCTGCCACTTACACCTGGAAAACTTCCAAGATGATACGTATAAATTACAAAGTTCTTTCAGCCACTCCTCACAATTCATCAGGGTGATAATGCATACTGTAAAGCATAAACTGATAACAACAAGCTGGCATCTGTGCTTGTACCTTTGTTATCAGCTACTACATCCTTCTTACTGTATGTGTTTTCTTTGGTGTATCAAGGTACAACTCTCTCATGTCCTACCTCTTAGTCATCTGATTTATGCAGTTAATTTAGACAACGAGTCTCTCGGGTTTATCCCTACAGTCAATGGATAAAAATAGATTCTGTCAGGAGTCAGGTCATACTTGGCAAGATGAGCTTCTCCAGAAGGTCATTTGTGGCAGCATCCTGTATTCTTCACTAACTACAGATGAAAATGTGAGCCTCCCCAGTAAATATGTCTTGGCCAGTGAATTTAGGATGCTTGAATTGGGAAAATTCAAATTATCTTCCTTCATTTCTTCCCTTCTGTCTTTGCTTCTTCCATTTCTCATATGTCTTTTACTTGCTCCATCTTTGAACCAGGGAACTTAGACTCATAGAATGGTTTGGTTTGGAAGGGATATGGAAGGTGATCTCACTCCAACCTCTCTGCCATAGGCAGGGACACCTTCCACTAGACCAGGTTGCTCAAAGCCTCATCCAGCCTGGACTTGGACACTTCAAGGGGTGAGGCATCCACAACTTCTCTGGGCAACCTGTGCCAGTGCCTCACCACCCTGACAAGAAAGAGTTTCACCCTAATATCTTGTGCTAACCTACCATCTTTCAGTTTGAAGCCATTTTTCCTTGTCCTGTCACTACATACCCTTGTACAGAGTCCCTCTCCAGCTTTCTTCTAGGCTCCCTGTAGGTACTGGTGACTTACAAGCTGGTGCCCTTTAGACACTGGAACTTTGTCATGTTTGTACAGTGCACAGCACAATGGGAATCAGTTTTCATTATGTTATTACACTGCCAGTGCTAAATATTAAATATGAAAATCATATATGTGTACACACTTATGTATATACATATATATATTTTAAAAAGAGAGAAATAAAATAAAAATATTTCATATCTAATAAGGCTTTAGTTTCTTTTAATGAAAAGAATGTATACCTGCAATTGTATTTTATATGAAATATTATTCTCTGCAAAGAGACCTAATGAAGTTGGTAAAGTACATATTAACTATGCTGGCTAAAATGATTTTCAGCCTGACCAATTTAAATGATTCACACAGATGTTGGAAGAATTGAGAACAGTCTGTGACATAACAGATAACAAGATAGTAACACACTCAGGGAATGTGGGAAAATAGGACATTTCCCTAGGGCACCATATGAATTCTGGAGCCGTCTGATGTGTAGCAGTTTGCAGCATCAGTCAAGGACATACCTGTGGGAGACTAAATTTTAGCAATTCCTAACCTTTGCTGTCAGAATAGAAGGCTATACAGGCAGCAGCCATTGTGATACTGGCAGCTGCTACTGTGTCTCTTGATCCTTAAAGGTAGCATCAGGATGCCCTGATGTTCTGAAAAGGAGCAGATGGAAGATTTTCTGGTGTATTTGTGAAGATTAATTCTAAATCCGTGAGGCATGAGAGTAAATGTGAGTGCTTTGCTAAACGTGAGATTATTTAATTACGTGTTTTTAAAAGAGAATGAGAAGAATTCAGAGCCAAGATGGATGATGTTCAGTTAATACCTGGTGCTGGGCTGCAGTGTGGGCCCTGCTCTGAATGAGTACCAGCCAGCAGCAGTGAGCACACGTGTGGGAGGTGCATCCAGGTAAAGGAACTCCTCTGCATAGTGGCAGAGCTCTGGGAGGAGGTGAGTAGGTTGAGGGAGAGGGAGACAGAGACTGATAGAATCACACCTGGCCCTCCCTGAGACAGGTCCGACAGTCACAGGACACGATACGGACAATTCCCTATCCTCTCTCCACCTGGTTGAGCACAGTGACTTTAGGCTGGGGGCAATGGCAGCAAGTTCCTTCCCAGGTGTGTCCCCTCTGTGACTACCTTCACAGGTGCCCTGCCACAATAGGTGTGAGGCTCTGCAAGTGGAACTGAGTGATGACTGAATAAGTATGATGGTTCATCCAGCTTGGAGGTGTCACTTGAGGTTACGTTACCCTACACCCTGTGTCAAACTCATTCCTCTCTACAACTGAAAGCAGGCTGTAGTGAGGTGGGGGTGAATCTCTTCTCTCAAGTAACAAGTGATAGGACGAGAGGAAAGGAAACAGCCTCAACTTGCAGCAGGAGGGTTTAGATTGGATATTAGGAAAAATTTCTTCACTGCAAGGTTTGACAAGCATTGAAGCAGGCTGCCCAGAGAAGTGGTGATGTCACCAACCATGGAGGTATTTAAAAGACATTTAGGTGTGGCACTTAAGGACGTAGTTTGGTGGTGGACATGGTAGTGCTAGAGCAATGGCTGGACTCCATGGTCTTAAAGTCTTTTCTAATCTAAACTATTCTATGATTCTTTGTGTTTGGTCATATTTTCTTAATAAAAATTTACTGACCTAAGTACTGACTTAGTTGCGTTGGTTTCGTGGATTTAATCCAAGTATTTTGATACTTAGAAGGTGGTAAAGTTTAGTATGCAACAGAGATTATTTTTCCTTTGATTAAGGATTTATATGATTTATATGATGCTGAATACTGTGACAGCATAACCAGAATTTAGACAGGACAATCATTATTGCCAGGCTGCTCACACCCTGCCTGTATGAACTTCTAAATGGCACCCAAATCTTCATCAGTGTAGTGTGATGAGATGGGATGTGTCGAGTAATACTGGGATTGTGTTGCAAAGTACTCAGTGGAAATCTGAGGGGAGGCATGTGATATGGAAACACTGGCAAGGCAGCTTGCCTGTCACATGTGAGGGCTGTGAATCTGTGAAGCAACAAAACCAAATAGCTGTCACCTCTGTGAACTCCCAGACAGATACAAAGCCTTCCTGATTTTACAGGAGATAAGGAGCAAATTTCATCCCTTATGAAATTGATAATGAAAATGTAGGAGCATCTCAAGAACAGAGAGATGATGGAGCTGTGTTTCCATGAGCTTTTATAACAAGGAGGAGCCCTATCATCTGTGTTCTCCGCAAAGCAATACTACAAAGAAAGAAACCTTTTTTTTCCCTGTCAAAGTGAATATGATATTTAGAAACACTGGTAATTCTTTACCATTCACATATGACAATTCCACTTATAAAGAAATTGTGGGTTTTTTACTCTCTTGGCTTCCAAGTAGCTTATATACCTTGAATTAATGAAAAACATATACTTTGTAATGAATTTAGAGGAAGAAAAAGTAAATGGTAAAACTGCATTTGTCTATATTACAGACATACCCATTTCACCTTCAGTTTAAGATGTACATCTACTTAAAATACATAACTAATCCAATACTTTTAGTTAATGTCTTTTTATTACAGGTGAAGTACCTTTTTTGAAAGACTTTTTACAGTTTATAAATATTGAAACACAGAGCTTCTATAGCAATAGATATAAGAAAAGAGATTATGGGAATATAATTATGATAGGGTCAGAGAAGGCACAGGGTTTAGGTGAGCCATGGGCATGATTAAGGAGAAAATTTGAACCTGACTTACTCTTTAGTATGGACTGAACTTTGCCTTAGGCTGGAAATGCAGTTGTCCAACACTATGCCTAAAAGTTGGCTATGAATGTCCTTCTATTGCATGCAAGATGGGCAGATGAGAATGGGCGTGTAAGCTCAAAATACTTTTAAAAGATGAAAAATTTCTCACAGTGGATTACAGTAAGTGACAAAGGCACATGGAACTCGGAGAATGTCACCGCGCCTAATATACAGTTAAAGAGCAATAGAAATATTTTGACTTTTCTAGAGAAAACCAATGTATTGTATACAGTCAGGAGTATACTTCATGGTATACTATAGTATACCACCTTATAACAATATAAACCTAGTATACCATGCTCAGAAGGAATGCTCTTCGAAAACTGACAAGTGATTTCAGGTGTGCATCCAGCTAAAATATTCCTTTTACAACATGCCCTGCATATCACCTGCCTTCTCAGCTGTGAGCTCTGCAGCTCAAAGTTTGTGTGGCTGGTTTCTACTTCTTGCTGCTTGGTCAAACATAGGCTCTGGTGAGTGAGTCCGTGGACAACTAGCAGATCAGTCTACCCAATTGTTTTTTTCTTGAAAACATTGCAAATTTTCCACATTTACATCTCAGATGAGAGCCAGATGTTTTGGAATACTAATTGTTTCATAAATGGAAAAAGCTATAGATGCCTTGCCAAACAGTTCAGTTCTTTGCTTATGAGTGATTATTTGGAGAACAGTAACACAAACACACAAAAATGTAAAAGTAGAAAGAAGTTTTCTTTGGGACTAAATAATGGATCTAGAGCCAGCTCACGAAATCAGGAATCAGCCTGAGTGGCAGAGATGCAGTCTATGAATCTCTGCAAGGAGAAGAGCAAAGGCTCTTCCCCTAAGGCTCTTTAATAGTAACACAGCTGCTCTACACCTACTCCTACCGATGCTCCTGTGTTGCGGTTCTCACTTGTATGGTCAACTTGCTTTAACATACCAGGGAATAAGTTATGAATCCTCTAGCATGCACTTAACCAGGGACCTACCAATCCCAGCTGTCTTGCTTGTAGCTTTGGAAGAACCCCTGACACTGTCTCCCCTGTGGTCAAAGGATTTGGTCTTTAAGGCTCTTTAAAGGTGCTGAAGGTGTTAAACTTGTAAGCCCTGAAGGAGTCAGGAATTCTTCCTAGCTCCCTTTGTAAGCAGAAGGGGAGCGTGATCCAGTGCTATACCGGGATGAGATAATCCTGTGAGATTTGGGTGTCTAAGGATTTGCTGCCCTCTGTTCTCTACATAGGGGAAATGCAATGCACAGATTTCATTAGGTCCATAGTCTATATGATCCTGTGGACGGTCAGGGAATTGGGAATATGCACTTTAGCATGAATCTTGTAATCATGTCAGAGGTAGCCTTAGGAAATTGAAGTAGGAGGCAGGCTAAGGCAGAGGACCTTGCCTTTCTCAGCCTGTATGTTAGCAGGCTTGTACAGCTGTCTAAGATAACCAGGTAATGGTCTGTGGTGTTCTCCTTAATTTCTCAAGAAAATAGATCCAAATGAATGGTGTGATTGTCATAAGCTATTTACTAAACTAAATTATTCTTTTGAAGGGGAAAGTCTTTAGTAGTGTTCATCATACTAGAAAAATTGGCTGAAAACCAGTGAATTTTCTTAAAAAAGAAAATTCTTAGAAAAGAAAATACTTCTGCTGTCTTTGCCTGCTGGTTATAGATAGAATGTGTTCATTGGAAAAGAATATTGGAAGCTTAAGACATCTGGGAACTAAATAGAAAAAAATAGGCTTGAAAACAGTGCCTGAAGGCTGCTATGATCAAAATCCTGCTTATGGATTTACATGGATTTATATACCTAAAAAGCCAAGAACTTAGAATAGTGACATTCTAACAGTTGATTCTAAGAATCATTATTAGTCTAGATCTATTTATTACAGGAAAATAAAGAATACTTCTATGCATAAAAATCTTCAGTAATAATAATACAGTTAAAATTGTTATGCAAATATTTCTTAGTTCCTATTCCTTCTTTCCTATGTTTTGCTCACCTTTCCTCTGCTCTTCTGGGTCCTAGGCAGTTTCATTCTAGTGCATGGTGGGGTTATGGGTGCTACCAGTGTCTGGAGTCTTGCAGGAGGAACCATGATGTTCTTTTTGATGGTTTCTTCTTCACCACTCTTAGGATTCAGTTTAGGACTTTTTTTGTATGTTAGCACAGTTTCAGACTTTCCTTTCTCTTCACTTCTCTTCAGCTTCATCTTACATCCAAACAGTATCTATGGTGCCTTTTATGCATGTTAGATACAAGTTCTTTGTTCTTTTTATCCCTAAAAGTTGTTATCCCTAAAATTAGTTTCATCCAGCTCCAGGTCTGTATTTTTATAACTGACTAGAGGCAAGTTTTTTATAGGCATGGAGTCTCCAGTGTCAAGCCATCCCTTATCATCCCATACACGTACTTCTCAACACTGTTCTGTGTCTCCACATCTCAGGATCTCAGCTGTAGTAGTAGGACTAGATTTCTCTATCCTACATCATTATGTATGTCATAAATATCTCATTCAATACTGAATATCTGCTTGTTATTTTTACCTCTATAAAACTATGACTGTAGGACACAAAAAAAAAAAGAAAAAAAAGTGAAATGAATTATCCACCTAATCAATTGGAAGAAATCACCAATTTTTCTGCAGAAAAGTCAAGCTAAACCAAGTAATAAATACAATGTTATGCACAGGTCAAGAAAATTTCAAAAAGAGCAAGCTGGCAAGCCTCAGTTCTGAGGCCTTGGTAAGCTTATGCCACGTTACCAGCAATGACAGTGCCTATTGTAGTGCCACAGTTACAAGGCTTAGTCTACAATCTGCCCAGCCAATGTTAATGACCACTTGGAAGTCAAGTTACCAGCAGAAGAGAGCAAAGCATTGCTTTGCTTCAAGACAGGATTTACATGCATACCAACAGGATACTTCTCCCTGCTTTCATTTGTTTACTAGTTCCAAAAGAGTCTTTGTTTGCCGCTGAACAGTTCAACTGGAAAGAGGTCTTTAGCTGTGAAACCCACTTCTGCAATTGCCCCCTTTAATTTATTACAGAAAAGAGCACTTCCTACCTTTTTGACTTCCAAAGCAGAACCTAACAAAATAAAGCTTGTAATCTTTATTCAGACAAGTCTGATTCTGTTCTAGTAGTTTTTATATTGCAGAGTATTGCTGGGCTTAAATGGTTTTCTGATGCCTCTGATACCAGACAGATACCAGAAAAAATTTTACCTTAGTAGAAGATGCTAGATTACATCCAAAGATAAATATCAGTGGAAAATGAAATGGGAGGAGTTGTTGTCAGGCTATGTAATTTTATTGGACTGCTCTTCTAAAACTGCTGTCTAATCAGTTTCCTTTTTTTAATAGGTATTGGTTTGCTTTGAAATATGGTTACCAAGCTGCATTTAAACCAAAAAGACGTGAAGATGCTTCAGAAACAGATCCTTCCAACCTCATTAAAAAACAAGCTATTGATGCAGTGACTGATATTAACATGCTCAGGGTGTTCAAGGCTTTTCTTGAGACCACACCACAACTTTTTGTCCAGATTTACATCCTCTTGCAACATGGCAAAACTAATTGCTATCAATGTGAGTCTGTCTTTTTCCTTAATTTGCAAGTAGAGTATCTTACTTAAAAATATAACTCATGTAGTTGGATAACATTTTAAACATACCTCAGAAAACATAAATTGCACAGTATAATTACCTTCATTAAATTAGATTTTCTATCTATTGGATGGTCCATTCTGCTAAATCAATGAGAAGAAAGATTTCACTATAAAAAGATTTCACTTAGGCAATACCTTTAAGAACCATAGACTGGGCAGGATAGCATAGGCATACCAAAGAGCATCACATGCCTAGATTTAGGTAACTAAAGTGAGCCTTAAAATTAAGGTGACTTGTTACAGAGCACAGAGTAAATATAAAATTGTGGTAAAGTGTTAAGAAGCATAAACTTGTCCAAAACTTCATTCAGATATTATAATGTAAAATAAGTATCTTTTTCTCCAGTTTAACAGTTTTTCTTGTGTTTTGTCTAGATGCTGCTATCTTTATGTCTTTTTGTGGTATCTCCTTTTCAATGGTCGATTATCAGATATCATTACAAAAATCTCTGCCTGACAAAGGTGAACTTCGTGTGCCTTCCAGGTTCATGTATCTCTTCTATAAACTGTTTACCATCACTTCTTGGGTACTCAGTATTTCACTGATCACTCTACAAAGTGTTAGAATTTCTGTAATTCTGCTGATATTTCTTTGGATCTGTGGCTTCACTTGGACTTTGAAACAATGTACAACATTTTGCAAATCTAAGAAGATGGAATATCTTTACAGAACTGTAGTTGGAATAATTCTAATTTTTACATTTTTTAACATAAAGGAGAAAAGAACAAAAGTTTTCATTTCTATTTATTATGCTACTCACACTGTAGTAACTCTAAGTATTTTGCTTGTACATATGTTCTGGAAATATTCCATTATCAAGGAAATACATTTTAAAATTGTGAGCATCTTAACTGTTTTACTTCTGGTGTTAGGTATTATTTTTCTTGTTGTTTATTATAGACATTTTCATCCGACTACTTATTACAGACCACAGACATGTTTAGATGAAGTTGATGGAGTGGCAGGACAAAAAGATAGAGTGAAAACTGGCAGATTTCAAATTTTTTAATGCCATAAATGGTATAGATCTTTTTTGTGCAGACTTCAAAGCAAATACTTGCTGGACACTCTGTTTCTCTGTCATTGTTTCTTATGTATCATCACAAAAGGGACCAGAATTATTGACTTTGAATAACTATTTGTTTTCTGTGAAGCTGTACAAAGACTGTAACATGAATACTTATCTGCTGGTGAAAGTTACTTTTGAAAAATAAACTATCTATCTATGCAACACAATCCACTGCTTCAGTTTTTTTCGCAATGCAAATGTAATGTAGGAAAGCTAAAAGTTAATAAAATGAAACCTAGCATTAAACCCACATTCTATTCATTTATGTTGATTCTGTTAAAAATAAGCTTGCTTTTTTTTTTTTTTTGTTTTTCTTGCTGGAAGGAAAGAGGAATGCATTTGAAATAACTGAGGACAATCATCAGTTATCTGCTTTTCCCCATTAGTGTAAGAGTTGCAGTTTTTAAATGCACATAATAACAAACTGTACTGCTTTCTCCCTAAACATCCTCTAAAGAAGAATAGCTTTGATTTGTGGCTCATTCACTGTCTTGCAACAAGGAAATCTGGGGAGATATTTTCAAGCATTTTATCTTCTAGGTGTTTTAATTACTCCTTTACTGGTTTTGTTCTGCTAATCTTTCACAGAATCTTCTGTATTTAGGGGTGATGCCAGCTTGTTCTGGGTTATAATAGCAGAAGAGATTTCTAGATTTGTTTGCTCTGGAACATCCCTTCCTAGGTAAGAGGAAAAAGCCCAAGGCTCCAGCCTGCCTCATGCATCATGATTGCCCTAAATTCTGTCTCCTTTATCACAGAGTATTTGCTACCTGTGATGGTGTCCTTGGCAGCAAAATGCTAGCCTGGTTTTAGGCTGAATATACTCTTATTTTGCTATGAAAAAAATGTGATCCTAAAGACTACAGATGATCTCTATATTGCTTCCCACACTTGTTTGTTCATCTAAAATCCTGAGAAGGGACTAGGGTAAGGAATGGTGGAAAATGGAGAATATTATCTCTGTCTTGAAGAAAATGACAACATTTTGTCTACCCATTATTTGGAAGACCACCTCAAACTTTATATATTATCTGAGAAGGAGATCTCTGGGGAAATATGGGATCCTGAGAAGTCCTAGTGTGGGCATTTCAGCCTTGGGTCCTCCAGGTTGTCTGCCTGCTGACAGAAATCTGGAGCCTGAGTTGCTCTGGAGGAAGGTTATTTTCTGGTGAAACAAAATAATTTGTCCTGCTGAACTTTTTTTTCTCCTTTCAATGCAGTGAGAAATTACAAATAAAAGTATTTCATTGCCATCTCTTTGGCCAACTCCTAACACTCACTTTCGTGAGAGAAAAGCTGAATGTTATGCTCCTTATGTCTCCTTGCTCCCTCTTCTGTGCCACTGAGAGGAATATTATACTGAAGTTGAGTTGATAAGAAAGACATCTAGGTGGCTCTTTATATCACGCTAATTCAAATACACACCAAACCCAATTGCTTCAGTTTCAATCCGTATTTTATGCTGGAAGTCCTTGTGGATATAGCCATATCCTAAAACACTGAAATGATCCTATGGGAAATCATGTATATTGTTTTCATAAAGCTTAAAGAGATCTTCAGTGTCCTGTCACTATGTCTCCATTTTGTTGTCAGTCAATGGGCCTCAAGAGATGGGAATTCCTGGTAGCTTGTACCCTGTAGATTTTTATCTACAGGGGAATATTATGAGAATAAAAATGTTTCAACTGTGAAGTCCTCCCTCTCTTCTTGACCTCGAGTTCAAGCTTTTCACTTGATTCCCTTCATTTTCACAGATATGAAAACGACTTCTCATTCATTTGGTCATTCTAACTCAGCATCACTGTGGTGGGGTGGACGAGGAAGCACATGAATTGACTCCAGACACATTTCATATCAGCAGTGACCACTTCAGACAAAACAAAAAAAGCCCCAGTTCACCTGGGTATAAAGTTCAAACAATAGACTTCATACATATCTTTTCTGTTCCCTGACTACTCTTAAAATTCAGCTGCCACTCAGTTCATGCATTGTGCTTGACCTTGTCATTTTAATCTAACTGCAAATTGAAAACAAATGGGGTTTTCTCTCCTTTTTTTTTTTTTTTTTTTGTGTTAAGTATGTCCATTACATCTTACAAGAAGTATTTTAATAAGTGAAATAAAATTAATAAACAATTTCTTCCTGTTTTGACTACTGTCAGACCTGGGTAAGAAGAACAACATTCAACAGAATTGTTTTAATTATCTTACTAATATTCAACGTGCCGTTTGATGGCATGGGTGAGCTCACCTGATGTACCACAGATAGCACTGATTTATGAAGCCATAATTGGGTTTCCAATAAACATTTGTCAAAATAATGTATTCATTCAAACCAATGCCTTCTTTATTTATTCATATAAAAGAGCACTTAACTTTCAACAAAGAATTGCCTGCCATCAAAAACACTCCATAAACGGGGGAAATTTATGAAGGTACAGTACCAAAGGGTGATTGGTGGAAGACTAAAGTTCACTTTAACCCTTCAGAGTGCTGAGTTCCACCTCTTGCTTGGTACTGGTACTAGACATATTTCTTACTGAAAACCCCAAGTCCAAGCATTAACCTTTTTATGTTTACACACTGAAGTACCACCTCTTTTTTCTACCATAGAGTCTTACATCTCAAAGATGGTTTCAAAACTAATGTCTCTCATTTTTATTATGCAGCGTAGAAGCATGCACAGAGCTCAAATGTTTTTAGGCTTACCTACATTCTGCCCACAGGTTTTACCATGTGTACATTCTTCCAGGAAAAGATAAGCTTTGAGAGGTAAAACTACATGTCTTGTCTGAACCTGAAGGAGTACATGTACTTGTCATTCATTCCAAGTGAAGAATTGTCCTGTTTTACCTCTTCATGCTCTTCTCTAGTTTAATTTTACAGAATTTTAGTAGAAGAATAGCAAAGTAGATGGGCTGTACAATAGATATTTGAATGGAGTGCAGTTAATCCCTTGGAGTCCATCTTCAATAGAAAAAATTTCTTCTTTTGCCTCAAATTAGCTAACATATAAAAATACAAGTCACACCAAAGATTCTCGCTGTGCAAGTCTTACATTCATTAGCTTAGTAAAATGTAGACCTTGGTGGGATAGGCAGTGGTTCAAGCCTGCTAGAACCTGTTGAAAATATGAATTGCATTGGCCTTCCTACGACTGTATGCTGGTTCCCATATGTTTCTATTTTTAGCATACAGTTTTTATTTCTGACAGTGAACACAGATGTAAATAACCGAACATCATCATCATTATCATTACTACTAGTGGAACTTTGTTGAAGTGTCTAGGATGACAATACGTAGAGGAAAATCTATCTGTTGCAACTGGAATGCAACAAAAAAATTATTAGTAAAGTTCTGTAATGCTTTGTCTGAGAACTTACAAGTGATCTCTAGGTCTCTCTGATTCAGCAGAGATATTTTTTAATGGGAGCCTAGAAAAGAGATAGTTAATAATTTTGGTCTGGAAGCAGTAAGTAAACTGCTGAAAATAAAGGGCCAAATGTTACTGGACAGTTCCTGGTTTCTGCGAGAAAGTAAATGACAAACCTACATGTTTGCAGGTCACTTGCAAAGATGAAGGTCCAGAGAGGAAAGCATAGTGGGTAGAGGCAGTGGGAACTGGTGTTTTTTCCACATAACATACCCACACATTCAGTCTAACTCAAAGTATGTTATGCTGTAGTAGAGCTGAAAGAGACCTCAAACATGATTTTCATCTTTTTTTTCCCAACAGCATGACTTTTAATGACTCACATTCAATGCATTGTAGCACAAATGTTTCTGTGCAGAAGCTTTGTCTTATCTGTTCTTCCCTCTTTGGGTGTTTGGTTTGCACTGTAAGGTATAAGTTCAGCTGCTGCCTTCTTAAGGGCCTGGTTTCTTTCAGAGATTTCTTTTCATGAATATTCAGCCCATAATCAAAAAAAACAGCTTCTCTTCTTCAATGGCATGTGTTTAGTCATCAGATTTGTCTCTGTTCACATAAAAGTTTGAGCAACTCCCGAAAAATGCTATTAGGTTTTTATAATTCTGCTATGCTTATATTTGGGGTTTTCCAAAAAACTATGTTCTACATGAAGATGTGCATCTTTAGTGAACATTGCATTATTCAACTGAGACAAGAAATGCATTTGCCTGCTTGAAGTTATGCTGAGTGGGGATACATGCCACTGCCGTGATGGAGACAGTGCTGTTGATAGTTTTGTTAAGCCATCAGGTCTTTGTCATACTGTTTGAATTGGATGAAAAGGCAGAGTGAGAAGAGAGTATTTTTGTAATCTGGGCTCTGGAAAATGGTGTCATACAATAGGTACAATGACACAGAAAGACTACACGCTACAGGTCTCTTCCACGGGTTTTGGGGCTGTATTTTGCTGGGCTATAGACATTCCTAAACTTATTCTTTTAAATCTAAGTCTTTGCCTCCTGTCAGTTGCTTTTGTCAGCAGAAAACAATACCTCACATAACTCTGTGCTGTTCTGTCACGTTCACTAGTGTGGGGCAATGTTACCTGAGTGGTATTGGTACCCTGATGTGTAGGTTGGTACAATTAAGTTGTATAAGGTTCTCTATGACAAACAGATACAAAAATTCACACCTGAGGGATTGCCATCCTGTCTACCCTGCCACCTATTTAGAATGTGGTAAATATTCCTTTAGGAGATGCCCTTTCCTTTTGACTAGAGCAAAAATGTCAACAGGGTGCACTTTAGGTAGGTAGAACTAGGTTCATGTAACTGGCCCTTTGTGTAGTAAATCTGTCATATGTAGTAGAACCCCAGCAAATTATCTGTAAAAATCTTTCCTCAGGTTGTTTATGTAGGGAGCAATGGGATGATAGTTGGCTATTTCAACCACTGAATACTAAAAACTGAATGGTAGGAATGCATCTTCTATAGACATGGACTACTCTGAGGTGTTGAGAGCCTTTGAATCTCATTTTCTTCTTCTGCATAAAGGCTTACATTTAGCATTTCAGACTACTTTATTAAAGACTTTGGACCACTTCTGAACAGCATGTTGAAATGAGTAACCTTTCTCTGAAACTTAGTATTAACTTTGTATTAATGTCCTCTGTGCAGAAAGCAATCATCTCAAGTGCATGAAAGATGAATGCATTATCAACTTGTATTAGGTATTGCTTAGGTGCAAATGGCTGATACGGCCCTATTTTCTCTCCTGAGAAGAAAAGTGGAAGGAACTTACCCTTGGTGAATTCTCCCTGGATTCTCTACCATAGCCTC